ATAAAACCAGACTTTTATTTTATAAAAATAATGTGTAGGTGAAATTTACCTTTCGTTATATCAAGTACAGCACATGGGTCATTCACTGTATAGATCTCTAAAGGAACGGGAATCGATTATCAGGTCACCAAACGAAAACATTCACCCAAAATCCTAAAAGGGTTAAGTGTGCGGATAAGCAGTTTCGACGTTCACATCCAAGCGACTCAATATTTTGAGCAGAAATTTTAAGACAAGGTAACTACACCATTCCTCTATATTTTGGCGGTTAAATTTCATACGTACTCAGACTTATTTTTGAGATTCTGTTCAAACCGTGATAGTCCCTTTAACTTTAAGTTCTGATAAATGGAACAGCTGAATTCATATATTGTATAATAGGATGTATTATATATTGTATAAATGAGTTGACACCAGTTGTAAGACCGCCCATGTCGACTCCAACTAATTGCCGCGAGTTGCAGTGAGCTTGCAAAACGTTGAACATGTGTAACTGACTGCAACTAGTTGCTTTGAGTTGTAAGAGGCGCTCAGGTTGACCTTTTTCAGTTGCATTCAGTTGCTCCCAGTTGCCAAAACGCCAGTTGCTTTCACTTTCAGTTGCAAGGTCGACATAACCCCCCCTTTTGTCAGTGAGAATTGGTAAATGTGATTGAAATAAGAGGCGTGGTTTATAGCAGGTGTCAGGTGTAAGGCAATATTAAATTGATTATAGATGACATATCACGTATCTAATGATAACTTTGTTACCTGTTGTTAGTTATTAATTATAAAACAGGTGTCATTATTTATCTTGCGTATATATAAACATCTTCAAGGTCTTCAATCAACTTCTCATACCTGTCTCTAACACACCTGGGGTTTCAATAATATCATACTAGATAACAAATATGTAATTGAAACGGGGGTTGGGTGGCTGATTGGTTAGCGTGTGCACGTTGTATCATAAGGTCTGTCGAGTCAACTGTCATTGATTCCTCATTGTGACAATGAGTAGGGTACCTGTCCAACCTCGTGGGTTTTCTCCGGGTTCCCCGGTTTCCTCCCACTGCTAAAGACCCCTACGCGCAAGCAAATTATTGAAATAAAATCGAACCATATGTTAGTCTCGAAATGACCTAGTTTGTGTTGAGTGGAGGTTAAACCCCATTTCTCTCTCATGTCCAGGTTTACTAAAAAATTTCCCTCGTAGACTGCCCGTAGTATCACGTGCGGCAGGGTTGTGAGCCAGGCTTAAACCAGATGAGCAGCTATATAAAGATGTCAGATATTCACCAGTAGGAATTAAACCATGAATCTTTATCTTTTGTGAAGATCTTCATTAAATTTAAATGTACTAATTAACCTATCAAGTCCACACTGTGTTAGAAAAAATCAAAGCAAATTATAATCAAGCCAAATAAAAAAAAGAGAAAAATTAATCAGACATTACTTTAATGGATTTTTTTCGTTACTCGGGGGAAATTAAGCCATAACCCCGTATTTATACTGGATACATCAACATATTTTCTCGTTATTTAGTGTAGAAGTGTCAAGAAGTGTGTGTAAATAATTAATAACATGCAAAGGTCACTATGTGAACAAATAATGCGTTTGTAGTAACTAAGAAAATAATTGAATTGCACAAAAGATAGAGTAATAGAATTCAGTTGGTTATTTCCAGGATTAATTCTTTACAAGGCGGCATAAACCTGGGAATAGGCACCAGTCCCAGACAATGCCAGACACAAATGTAAGGAAAATAATTGAGTTGCACAAAAAGAAAGGTTCTTGGAATTCAGTTTGTCAGTTCCAGGCAAAATTCTTCACTAGGCGACACAAGCCTTGAAATGGGCACATGTCCAGACAATGTCAGACACAAATTAAGAAAATAATTGAATTGCCCAGAAAGAAAGGTTCAAGGAATTCAGATTCCCAGTTCCAGGCAACATGCTTCACTAGCCACATTTGTATATTTCTTTGTTGTCGATATTTTTAATACATATATCTGACACTCCTACAAATATAATGATCAGTAACAACTTCAATGGTTAATGGCATTTTGTCAGTTTATATCTGTATTTCCAGGACTGACCACGCATAAAAATTTGGGGTACTGCTATTTAAAGCGAGAATTTCAAATTTTCTAAGAAAGTCATTTCTATGTCTTTTGATCAATAGGTTATCAAATCACTATTATACGATCATGGGCATTATTTCCCACCCTTAAAGATCTATGACACAGGAAATAACAACACAATTACCTCCCCTGTTTTGCTATTGACAACATGGGGCAGCCATTTTCCAACGTTGGAATTTGAAGTTAAAAATTATATTTTTGCCAATTTCTCAGCTGGCAATAGCGAATTATAGGATTAATAGGATTATTCTTTAACAAAGTAGGACTGTTTATGGATACCATCTATTTTAAGGCTTTATTTTAATACATTTTAAAAATATAACTTGAAAATTTGCAATTGCAACTTTAAATATCAATGGGATTATGCACTGTCAATTAAAGGATGCATGTATTGGAATGGAGTCATAGCCTATAGGTAAAGGCCTCCCCCTAATTAAAGGTGTGCTACTATCTTAGGTGGGGGTGGATGTCCGATTGGTTAGAGCGTGCACGTTGAATAATAAGGTCTATCATTAAGTCAACTGGTGTGGTTTCGATTCCCCGGTTGTACGTGACAAGGAATAGGGTCGCCTGTCCAACCTCGAGGGTTTTCTCCAGGTCCTCCTGTTTCCTCCCACTGCTAAAGACCCCTACGTGCAAGCAAATTATTGAAATAAAATTGAACCATATGTTAGTCCCAAAATGACCTAGTTAGTGTGAAGTGGTTGTTAAACATCTCTCTCTCTCTCTGTCTCTCTCTCTCTCTCTCAGTATATATGCAGATTGGAGAAGCTATCTGTGTATGTGATATTTCTAAATTGCTCTCTCTCTCTCTCTCTCTCTCCCTCTCCCTCCCCAGCTTTCTGATTCTCAGTATATATCATTGGTGAAGTGTCAAAAGGGTGTATCTAAGAATTTCTAAAGATTAAGAAATAGAACCTTTTGCATTTCAAAATTTCCACAAATCAAGATACAACATTTGGACACATGATACCCAGAACAGGTCTAATTGGCGTAGAGATACACAGCTTAGACAGAAATGTGCATATTAAATGGGAGAGTTTAAAAATGCAAAAAATTCTATTTGACTAATTTCCCGAGATACACCCTTTTGACACTTCACCAAGCTGCAAACAATGCTATCTCTGTATGTGATGTTTCTAGATTGATTGAATGTTGATGAAGGGACTAAACGAATCTCTTATAATCTGACATAAAATCAAATAGACTTACGAGTTCTAGTGATAAAGATCATCGTCAGTCTTATAGTAGTATTATAGTATTAATATTAGTACTATTGACAATAACCTTCTGACCATCACACTACTACATGGTATTAATGTTAGTACTATTGACAATAGCCTTCTGACCATCACACTACTACATGCCATTAGTATTAGTACTATTTGCTATTTGTTGACCATATTTGTACAGAGATGTGGTCGATGTGGATGACCTTATCTAACTAAGAAGTAGCTTGTAACAAATCGTTAATTCTATCAAGCTGCTTATTTTGTGGGATCTATTTCTCTATTCGTTTTTATATGCTCATATTGTGATATGAAAATCTATAATGATACATCCCATAAACTAATCATTTAACTAGTCCAACGATTTACTGTCACGCTGTTCATCCATCAAAAATTCTTGTGGACAGGTGTACATCATTTCTAATAAGGAGCCACAGTGGATAAGTGGGTAAGACGCTGGCTCCCTAGCCTGGAGGTCGGGTGTTCGATCCCTGCATTGGCCAAGAAAGTTCATCAGGGTTTTCCGACTTGGTTTCCCCTTTGTCAGTGTTGCAGAACGAGGGACCTGACAAGGACAGCTGTCTAGTTGTTCGGATAGGACGAAAAACCAAGGTCCTTTGTCATTAGCATGCATGTAAAAGATCCCTTGGTAGTTGGAAATCGATACAAAATTTCTCTCATAGCACTGTATGGCGTATGCCATCTTCATTAGCCCAGTTGGAGTAGGACGCTAAACCCCATTTCATTTTCATTTCTAATAAATACTTCTAAAGTTATTGTTATTTATGTTTGAACTTTTTGTAGAAGTTTGTAAAAACACAAATCTTAATTGCACTTGTGACATTTGTAAGCTTGATGAATATTATATTTGTGGCATGGATTGCTTTACCAGATGATGTGAGTTATTAGCCGATGGAACAGTCTGTTAAGGCGAGTTTTTGGCATGTGATGGACGGAACTGTGGGTAACCCACTAGAAACATTAACGCTGATTGGTCAAAAGCCACTTGTATGACCTCTGACGCGACCTTCCACTACAACCAGTCAGATCTTTGTGTAGTAGAGGCCATCGAAAGTATAAAAAAACGAAACGAAATATAGATCTGTATTTTAATCAGATACATAAACCTGTAATGGTAAATCTCTTTGATCTTTGGGGTATATTCTATGCCCGGAATAACTTGAGGTCTGAAAGTCAGGGTGGCTTTGGATATATACAGGGGAATATGGGGTTATTCTTCTGAAAGTTTTCTTTAAACCTGTTTTGCTTATGGGAATTCTGGGATATTCTCATTTTGCGTACATGTAAAAACATAGACGGTTTATAAGCAAGATAAAGTCCTTGACTTCGGTTTTGCTGAGGGGGGGAAAGACTTTAGAAAAACCCTTGACAGAAAAACCCTGGCCTTTCGGCCTCGGTTTTTTCTTTTTCTCAGGTTATTTTTTTCAGTCTTTCTTTCCCCAGCATAATCTCAGTCTCATGCTTTATCCTACACCGAGACCAACCACAAAGGTATTTTGTTTACATCTCTGCACTTAATGACTGTAGAAATCCCAGGGTACAGTGGAGATCACAGAAACTATAGAGGAATCAAGAATGTTGTTTTCCATTAATTGTTATGAAATATTAATTTTATTTTCTGTCTATTTCAGGCGAAGTCTACAGTCTAAGCCTGATGATCATCCCAAGCCATTATTACACAGTGTTCATCACCATAGTTACAGGTTAGTTAAAATTTTTTTTTTTTGTCCCCCGCCTTTCGAAGAAAGCAGGGGACTATTAAAATGGGTTCGTCCGCCTGTCTGTCCGTCCGTCTGTCCGTCCGTCTGTCTGTCCGTCACACTTTTTGGGACACAATAACTCTCTTCCTAATTGAGCTAGAATGTTCAAACTTGGTGTATGTGTTTATTAGGTCAATGCCTTGATGGAGTTCAAAGATGAGCATTTTCCGCTTAGGGTAAGCAGAGATAAGCAATTTGATTGGTTGATGCTTTGGGACACGATAACTCTCTTCCTAATTGGGCTAGAATGTTCAAACTTGGTGTATGTGTTGATTAGGTCAATGCCTTGATGGAGTTCGAAGATGAGCATTTTCCGCTTAGGGTAAGCAGAGATAAGCAATTTGATTGGTTGATGCTTTGGGACACGATAACTTTTAATTGAGCTAGAATGTTCAAACTTGGTGTATGTGTTTATTAGGTCAATGCCTTGATGGAGTTCGAAGATGAGCATTTTCCGCTTAGGGTAAGCAGAGATAAGCAATTTGATTGGTTGATACTTTGGGGCACGATAACTCTCTTCCTAATTGAGCTAGAATGTTCAAACTTGATGTATGTGTTGATTAGGTCAATGCCTTGATGGAGTTCGAAGATGAGCATTTTCCGCTTAGGGTAAGCAGAGATAAGCAATTTGATTGGTTGATGCTTTGGGACACGATAACTTTAGTTCTAATTAAGTGAGATTGATGAAACTTGGTGTATAGTTTCATTACAGTAATACCTTGACTAAGTTTGATAATGAGCATTTTCTGCTCAGGGTAAGCAGCAATTTGATTGGTTGATACTTTGGGGCACGATAACTCTCTTCCTAATTGAGCTAGAATGTTCAAACTTGGTGTATGTGTTGATTAGGTCAATGCCTTGATGGAGTTCGAAGATGAGCATTTTCCGCTTAGGGTAAGCAGAGATAAGCAATTTGATTGGTTGATGCTTTGGGACACGATAACTTTAGTTCTAATTAAGTGAGATTGATGAAACTTGGTGTATAGTTTCATTACAGTAATACCTTGACTAAGTTTGATAATGAGCATTTTCTGCTCAGGGTAAGCAGAGCGATACGCAATTTGATTGGTCGAGACTTTGGAAAACAATAACTCTCCTACTTTGATTGTTAGACTATAAGTAAAGATATACTGTTTGATTGTTCAATACTTTGTAAAAGATAATTTGTGATAAATTTATATGTGTCCTCTAATTATTTTCCTATTTCGGCGGGGGACATCAGCCTCACTGTTGGCTTGTTTTTCCACAGAAAGATTCAAGGCTCATTCTGGTAGAATCTATCTGGGATCACGTGGCTAAGTGGGAAAGACGCTGCCTGGAGGTCGGGTGTTTGATCCCTGCATTGGCTGAGAAAGTTCATCCCTTGTCAGTGATGCAGGACAGAGCCTGACAAGGACAGCTGTCTAGTCCTTCGGATAAGACGGAAAACCGACAATACATGTTTACATTGGAATGCACGTAAAAGATCCATTGGCAATTTGAATTTGATATGAGAGAAGGCGATAGTGCCGCTGCCCAGGCAAAATTTCCCTCATAGCACACTGTATGGTGTATGCCCGTCTTCATTAGCCCAGTATAGGAGCAGAACAATAGGACGTTAAACCCCATTTCATTTCATTTCATTTGATTTATCTTGGTAACTGTTTTTAAAACGATAAACCACTGGCGATAGGATAAGATGTTTTGCCACTGTACTTGATGATATCTGGGAGTCACAGCGGCTAAGTGGGTAAAATGTGGGTCGCTAGTTTGGAGGTCGCGTGTTCAATTCTTGTATTGGCCGAGTAAGTGCATCAGGATTTTCTGGCATGATTTCCCTTTGTCAGTGGTGCAGGATGGAGGGCCTGACAAGGACAGCTGTCTAGTCGTTCGGATGGGACTAAAAACAGGTTTGGTGTATACATTGGCGTACATGTTAAAGATCCCTTGGCAGTTAGAATTTAATATAAGAATAGGCCATAGTGCAGCTGCCTGGGCAAAATTTCCCCCATAGCACACTGTATGTCATATGCCCGTCTTCATTAGCTCAGTCCAAGCTGAACAGTAGGACGTTACACGGTAACCCGGGTATCATTTAATTTTATGTATCTAGGACTAATTTCTTTCACATTCGTTTAATATCAAATCACTCAAAATCATCTAATTTGTACTTGTGTCCACTCGACACAAACCAGCTCCATTCTCTCAAAATTACCAAAGGACAGTGTTGAGTGTTGACATAATTAAACCCTTTCCATTCCTTAACAATACCTGACAATACATTAACCCAGTTCCATTCCTTTTCAATAACTGTCTCATCATAACCTCATTCCATTTCTTTACAATACCTGGCAGTACATTAAACCTCATTCCATTCCTTTACAATACCTGACAATACATTAACCTCATTCCATTCCTTTACAATAATTAACCCCTCATTCCATTCCTTAACAATACCTGGCAATACATTAACCCCACATTCAATTCCTTTACAATACCTGACAGTAAACCTGTTCCATTTCTTTACGTCAATACCTGGCAATTCATTAACACCTCATTCCATTCCTTTACAATACCCGACAGTTCATTAACCCCTCATTCCAATCCTTATTAACAATACCTGGCAATACATTAACCCCACATTCAATCCCTTTCCAATACCTGACAGTACATTAACCCCACATTCTATTAAACCAGTCCCATTCCTTTACAATACCTGTCTCACATCTACATGGTACTAATAAAAGTTTATATACCTTTAAAGTAATCAATACATCTACACAAATAAACATATTATTTATTTATATCATCTGCTGTTTTCATCTCATATATTCCCACCTGTACTGTCCATATACATGATTGACTTTAAACCATAGCTTCATTATATAAACTCTGTAAATTATTCTGAACTCGGAGAAGATTATGGATTAAGCAGTTGATGGACAAAAATACTCCCCATAATTGATAATTTAAAACATATTGTATTTAAACATTTTTTGGATTTAACTGAAAAATTAATTTGTATTCATTTATTTTTTCGTCTTAAGATAGGTATCTTTATATGAATATTCAACAAGCATTTTTCTTTTATTCTGAGTCTGAGTAGGAGGTTGGATGGCCGAATGGTTAGCGTGTGCGCTTTGTATCATAAGACCTGTCATTGAGTCAACTGGCGGGGTTTCGATTCCCCGGTTGTACGTGACAAGGAGTAGGGTCGCCTGTCCAACCTCGTGGGTTTTCACCGGGTCCTCCGGTTTCCTCCCACTGCTTAAGACCCCTACCCGCAAACGATTTATGGAAATAAAATTGAACCATGTGTTAGTCCCGAAATGACTTAGTTTGCGTCGAGTGGACGTTAAACCCCATTTTGTTTAGGTTAGTTGTTTGTTTATAATTTTTCATGGATTTTGCGTACTTGTTTTCAGCTTTTGATGCAATTTGTTTTAATTTTAGTTCAAACAGCACGCCATTACACAGTGGTAGATCTTCCCCAACACCATCAGATAATACTCTAACTGCTGGACGGGGTGGTTACACGGGTAATTCAACAGAGAGAAGTATTTATAGTCTGGGCTCAGCTTCCTCTTTAGATGTAAGTTTTTTTATATTAAAAAATATTGTAATATAATTAGGGAGTTGGGGTGGTCTAGTGGTTTAACGCTTTGGTGTGAAATCACAAGGTCTGTCATTGAGTTAAGGGGCATGATTTCATTTCCCGCTTGTACGTTGACAAGTAGTTTGGTCACCTGTCAAACATTGTGGGTGTTCTCCTGTTCGGGTGGTACTAAAAACCGAGGTTCCATGTACACATTGGCATGCATGTAAAAGATCCCTTGGCAGTTGGAATTCCATACAAGAGTCAGCCATGGTGCTGCTGCCCGGGCAAAATTTCCCTCATAGCACACTGCATGGCATATGCCTGTCTTCATTAGCCCAGTTGGACAGAACAGTGGTACATTAAACCTTGTTTCATTTTTATATGCCCACATTGAAATGTGGTCATATATTGTTGTTGCCCCTGTCCGGAGGTCCGGCGGTCCGGCGTCCACAATTGCTTGTGGACGCTCTATAGGCTAAAATTAATATCCGATTGACTTTAAATTTATACACGGTGTTTAAGGTCATGAGACGAAGAAGCCTATTGATTTTCGATAATTACTGTCGGAGTTATGGCCCTTGATCACTTGGAAAAATCTTGTGGACGCTCTAGTGGCTAAAGTTAATATTCGATTGACTTTAAATTTATACACAGTGTTTAAGGTCTTGAGACGAACAAGTATATTGATTTTCAATGAATCTTTATGACTTGAACAGCTAAATCCACGATGTTAAAAGTTTTGTATACTAAACATTAGCATGGGGCAGAACTTTATAAAAACCAAACAAATTCTAATGGTTTTCTGATAATTACTTAATGAGTTGTTACTCTTAATCAGATTTTAATGTATTATCAATATTTCATTACCGAAAAAAGTAAAAATATGCAACAACTCTTGTTGACTGCCCGGACAATTTAGCTGCTGTGGGCGTATGTTTTGTTGCCTGGCAACCTATCCTATTTCATTTCATGGCTTCTTCTATGATAGGGGGGTTGGATGGCTGAATGTTTAGCACATGTACGCTGTATCATAAGGGCTGCCATTGAGTCAGCTGGTATGGTTTCGAATCCCCAGTTGTATGTGACAAGGAGTAGGGTCGCCTGTCCCACCTCATGGGTTTTCTCCGGGTCCTCCGGTTTCCTCCCACTGCTAAAGACCCCTACATGCAAGCGAATTATTGAAATAAAATTGAACCATATGTTAGTCTCAAAATTGAGTGGACGTTAAACCCCATCTCTCTCTCTCTTCTAGGATATCGATCGCCAAGCATCATCAAAAGTAACAGAAAATTTTGATTATATCCAGTCGGTGCTATTTAAAGATGAGAATGAAGATGATTGGTCAAGATCGAAAAGTTCACCAGTTACCAAAGGAACACAGTTTAATACACAGAGAGAGTGCCAGGAATGGGCGTCACAATTTCCACATATCAGGTAACGTTAATAAGACCATTGACCTAACTAATGTGTATGACTTTACATTTGTTGTTTATCTTCCGTATTCAAAGTCCTTTAAATTGGGGGGGTTGGATGGCTTGATGGTTAGCCCATGCATGCTGTATCATTAAGTCTGTCATTGAGTCAACTGGCATGGTTTCGAATCCGCGGTTGTACGTGACAAGGAGTAGGGTCGCCTGTCCAACCTCGTGGGTTTTCTCCGGGTCCTCCGGTTTCCTCCCATTGCTAAGCAAGCAAATTATGGAAATAAAATAGAACCATATGTTAGTCCCGAAATGACCTAGTTTGTGTTGAGTGGACTTTTAACCCCATTTCTCTCTCTCTCATCCACAGATTTGTCTTCTAGGTTTCTGTTTTTTTATGAGGGGGTTGTATCATAGGGTCTGTCATTGAGTCAACTGCTCGTTATGCCCCATCTTGCACACTTTGCAGCATCTCCTGCACTTACTGCTTGATGTGCAGTATCTCCTGTACTTACTGCTAGGTTTGCAGTATCTCCTGCCCTTGCTTCTAGGTATGCAGCATCTCCTGCACTTGCTGCTAGGTGTGCGGCATTTTCCTGCACTTACTGCCCAGTGTTCATTATCCCAGCACTTGCTGCTAGGTGTGCGGCATCTCCCGCACTTACTGCTAAGTATGCAGCATCTCCTGCACTTACTGTTAGGGAATAGATTCTATCTACATGGTAATTTCTACAATGAGAAATTAACGATAATGGTACTTGATAAATAACACCACCTTTATCTGATTTTCATAAAGATAGAGTAAAATGATAGTAGTAATTGGTTGACCACCTTAAAGCTTTGATGAGCCATTTCCTTTAATTATATGAAACATGAAACCTTTCTTTTGAATGGGATGTCTTTACTAAATCGCCAATTTTTTTCTATCTAAAGGAAAATTAATAGACTTTTTGGATTGCCTATAAGACTATTATTGTTATTCTTAGTCTATTATATATGTAGCCATAGAACTCGAATACTAACAGGATGCCCACTGTGTGACCTATAACGATAATGACACAGTTGTGTAATTACTATTATAACCTTATTTTATATAATCAAATTAATTTAAGTGCTTCATGTGTGCTGTGAGAAAAAAAAAGAAGGTTAGATGATCCACTGATAATTAAACTGCGATGCACTTAAATTAATTTGATTGTTGAAAATAAAGTTATATTAATAACTGTGTCATCACCATTATACTTCAATATTAAACTGTGACTGAGTGAGTGAGATTATCAAATTACTGGTCTGAATCCGATTCAGGGGCAAATAACTCGTCTTAAAACGATACTTTATCAGTACTTTTAATACTAAAGGTGAGCCACTAAGCCACGGACAAAATGTGGGGTCATACATTTAGTCAACCAATCACAAGACTCACTAATTCTCACTAGACAATCGAGTCTATATATTATATGACATCATTTTTTTAATCATCAGGGGGGTCTGGATGGCCGAATGGTTAGCGTGTGCGTGTTGTATCATAAGGTCTGTCATTGAGTCAACTGGCTTGGTTTTGATTCCCAGGTTGTACGTGATAAGAAGTAGGGTAGCCTGTCCAACCTTGTGGGTTTTCTGTGTCCTCCGGTTTCCTCCCACTGCTAAAGACCCCATCGCGCAAGCGATTTATTGAAATAAAATTGAACCATATGTTAGTCCTGAAATGACCTAGTTTGTGTTGGAAGGAACGTTAAACCCCATTTCTCTCTCTTTTTTAACTGTCCTCATAGACTCGATTGACTAACTAGTCTAGTGATGATCAAAGCATTTCAAAAAGTTTTTGCATTCTTGTCTATTAGTGTTTAACGTCTGCTTCCACTGAAGGTGATATTGCAGATATATTGACTTATTTTAGTATGCTCAGCGCATGCAGCAGTCTTTCCTGTTAGGGGGAAACCAGAGTAAAACCCCAGAGGTTGAGAAGGTGCCCCTATATCCAAGCCACATACGCTCACACCAGCGATCGAAACGACGACCACTAGACCATCCCAACCCCCCTAAATTTTTGCAGTCTGTATCATATGATTTGATTGTTAAGTTGAGCTGGAATCGACCAATCACAAACTGTGCATGACTTAAATTGCCCTATAAAGAAATATCTTTATATTTATTAAAAACAAAACAAATTATGGTCGCTATTATATAAATTAAGTTTTTTTATGTTCTTGTATTTTAGGATATTGGGGTCACAAATCGAAGGCCCGGATTTACAGTTACATCAGACTAAGGAACTTGGTTTTCAGTGTATTGAACGAGAAGATTCTCCTACCTCCATGCACCTCGATATCTATGATGTTCATGACCCTGACAACAATGACAACATCGATTCCCATGTAACCAAGTAAGATAAACAACGGCCATTTGTAATTTTAATGCGAGTATCAATTAATGACGCAGGCTTGCTAACAAGAAGATCTCGTGTTTGCTCCCGGTGCAATCTGATTTAAATACAAATCTTTTTTTTTTTATATAATTTCGATGGCCTCTACTACATGGATATCTGACCGGTTGTAGTCGACGTTTGTGTCAGAGGTCATACTAGCGGCTTTTGACCCTATCATGTCAGACATGAGAATTGATGTTTCTAGTGGGTTACCCACAGTTCTGTGCATCTTACGCCAAAACTTGCCATAACAAACCGTTTCATTAGCTAATCCCTGATATCATCCACAACGCGGGTTATATAACAACTCTTCCAGATCGTAGTGTAGTAAAGACAAGTAAAACGAAATTTTAAACTATAAAAACGAAACGGAATAGGATCTGTGTTTTAACCAGACTGCTCCTGGTGTTGTCTGAGAAAGTTCCTTAGTATTTTCTGACATGGGTTCAGTTTGTCAGTCCTGTTCAAGACGGACAGTCTGACTGTCTCGTGTTTGCTCTCGGTGTTGTCCGAAAAAGTTCCTCAGTAATGAAAACTGAGGTCATGTGTACTCTTTGGCGTGCACGTAAAAGAGCCCTAGAATTCAAAACAAGAGTAACAAAATTTACCTCATAGCACACTGTATGCCCATACCCGTCTTTATTAGCCCAGTCAGTGCAGAAAAGTAGGAAGTTAAACCCCATTTTATTTTATTTTATTAACTGCTATCTATGATTGCCACAGATCTCTAAATGATTGTAAAAAATTGTTAGTAATGCACAAGGCTGATCACCATGTGTATTGGGGACATGTTTAGATGCTACTATAGCAGTACAAGCGATTGTTGCACGCAGAAGGTAGATTTATAAAAGAAACAGTTAAATGTCCAAAGTCTTATAAAGGCAAAAATGGATAATCAAGACTTTGTTAATCATCTTGACAGCGGTAACAATGACAATCAAGGCTACAAAGATTTAAAAATAAGGTATTCTCAGCTTGGAGTGAAGCAATTTGACTGAAATTTTCAGCATATTCCCTTTACATTATCTAGTTTTAATTATCATTACGAGAACTGCCAGCCCTTTATCTAATCTTCTGTAATGTATCTTTGAGAATATTGACTTGTTCTAGTTTTGATGAATTAATCCGTGGAAATGGAATTTTACCAAAACATCCTCCTACTGAAGCCACTGCTTTTACTAACATGGACGCCGACACAGATAATGGGTTTGAATTTTTACGGGAAGAAATATTTGCTCAAGATGGTCTGTATGAAGAAATTATTGCCATAGATAGGTAAGTCATTGGTGTGTTCACAGTAATTTTGTCCGAGGGGCAGTTCAGGGGGGTTGGATGGCCGAAGGTTAGCGTGTGTGTGTTGCATCATAAAGTCAGTCTTTAAGTTGACTGGCGTGGTTTCGATTCCCCGGTTGTACTTGACAAGAAAAGGGTCGCCTGTCCAACCTTGTGGGTTTTCTCCATGTTCTCTGGTTTCCTCCCACTGCTAAAGATCCCTAGCGAAATAAAATTGAACCATATGCTAGTACCGAAATGACCTAGTTTGTGTCAAGTGGACGTTATGTACATCCAGTAATTAATGAGACTATTTTAATTTTTAATTTTTCTAAAAAAAAAAAGGATGTCATGCAGCCCTTAACTGACAAGGGATTGACGGAGAACCCAAATATTTGGCCTTAAGCAACTTGTTTTTTATATCATCTTTTGTTTTGGGTTTCAGAGCTGAATTTTTAATTTTTCTAAAAAAAAAAGGATGTCATGCAGCCCTTGTTTAACTGACAAGGAATCAACGGAGAACCCTAATATTTGGCCTTAAACAACTTGTTTTTCGTATCATGTTTTGTTTTGGGTTTCAGAGCTGAAGATAATGTTGAGCCTAAAGTGAAGATGCTGCCCCCTTCAAGGCGTGTTGGTTATCCCCCCATAACACCCAATGCCTGCATCACCAACAGCGTTATGAGTCGACTTTTTGACGATTTATGGAAAATTGTAGGTGGCTTTCTGTATTAATGACTGTACTGGCTTTTATATGAATGTTTGCTCATGGTCTTAAATTGTAAATCAAACTATATTATTTATATTTACTTTCCATTCAACATGATGATAGTTCTTGGGAGCCACGGTGGCCAAGAAAGTTCATCAGGATTTTCTGATGTGGTTTCCCCTTGACAGTGGTGCAGGATGGAGGGCCTGACAAGGATAGCTGTCTAGTTGTTCGCATGGGAAGAAAAACTGAGGTCCCGTGTACACATTGGCGTGCATGTAAAATGTCCCTCGGCAGTTGGAATTTGATATAAGAGTAGGCTGTAGCACTGCTGCTACCTGAGCAAAATTTTCCTCATAGCACAGCACACTACATGGCATATGTCCGTCTTCATTAGCCCAATCAGAGCAGAACAGTAGGACATTGAACCCCATTTCATTTCTTCAAAACATGAAGCCATAGCATACAAATTCTGCTTTAAACTGATGCTGGATCTTCAGGGATGATCTTTTCTCAGTCTTGCCTTTTGGAAAAAAACCCCCTAGAAATCCCATAAAAATCGCATGGGGAATTGATCCAGGGGTTGCACATAGGATTGGCACCCATGGAATGTGCATAAATTCATAGATTTTCAAAACTAGCTGCAACTACTGCTGCCTAGACAACCTCAAGCCATTCAAGCCTAGAACAAGTATATTGGTCTTTAAGTTAAATAGTTCTCATCTGTTCATTCCACTTCAATGGCAGTTTGAGGCACAGTTAACTTTACTATTCTGCTTTACATGGATTAATAATAAATACCAACGATAGTAAGATTGGTTATATCATATACTTGTTGAAAGTTTATCAGTATTGAGACTTGTTTTGTGTGAATAATGACAAATGTCGGATTTATTTTCAGGTAATTGAGTGGATTTGGCCAGTAATTCAAAAGGAATATCCATTTGTAACTGATGGTAAGTTGTTTTTATTTTCTTTAACAGGAATAAAATGGATTTATACAATCTAGATTTACAGGCAGGAATTTTCCTTTTTTCCAATAATAAATTTATCATCCTGGTAATTAATCTCAACATTCTACACACAGAAAACTGTTTACTTTGAGATCTCTGACCTGAATGGGGGGGGGAGGAGAGTTGGTTGGCTGAATGGTTAGTGCGAGCGTGCTGTATCATAAGGACTGTCATTGGCTGGGTTTTGATTCCCCGGTTGTACGTGACAAGGATTAGGGTCGCCTGTCCAACCTCATTGGTTTTCTCTGGGTCCTGTGGTTTCCTCCGACTGCTAAAGACCCCTACGCACAAGTGAATTATTGAAATATAATTGAACCATATTTTATTCCCAAAATGACCTAGTTTGTGTCCAGTGGACGTTAAACCCCATTTCTCTCTCTGTGTCCTGAATGGTTGCCATATTCAAAAATTACTATACTATTTTGTAATGCGTTCTAATCCATTTTATATTTTTCATACACACAAAGACTAAATAAACATTAGCTTCGTGTCTGTACTCAAGGGGAACTAACTGTAGACAGACAACTTCGTATGATATCTCAAAAATAAAAAAAATATGTACTATTTTATTGTAAAGACTTGTTACTATGCAAAGTAGTTCAAGGAATAAAGAGACCTTGATGTAGAATGGGCTGGCTTGTACATAAGAAAGGCAGCCACAGTGGCTCAGTGAGTAATGTACTTGCTAGGTGATAAGGAAGACCGTGGAATTGACCGACAGGTAGTTTCTTCATCCAGTCAATTTCGCTGCTAGTCCTCAGATATAAATGAAATAAGAATGAATACAAGACAATTCACTCATGATTTATTTGAATGTTAGATATTTTAATTTATTTCAGATGTGATGCAGCAAAATTTAGACGCAAATCCCTCGTCACCAAATCATAATAACCAATCTCCTGCCTCCAGACAACCCTCGTTTATTGTTAATAAGGTTAGCTTTATGTGTAGTTTGATCCAGGTATATATACATCATGGTTGTTGTTGATTACATCTATCATTAGATCGAAGAAGGAGACGGGTGTCTGCGACTGGAGGCGTTTACTCGTGGTTCTCTCTCTCGAACTCGTGAAGACTATCTGGTTGATCCTGCCAGTGATCATATGAACAGAACACAGTTTTTATGGGATACAATCACTAGTTTATTCTAAAAGCACGACATTTCGACAAGTATCCTCTTATTGTTATCAAGCACAAAATGTGCTTGATAACGATAAGAGGATGCTTGTCAAAACATCGTGCTTTTAGAATAAACTAGTGATTGTATCCCATAAAAACTGTGTTCTGTTAATGTGTTCCCCGATCGCTAAACGCCACTTAAAGAATAAGTGATCATATGCTTGTCTCAAAGCTTGAGCCATGCAAGTCTCAAGTTCAGGCTTGTTCCTTTTTGTGAGCGAGCTGGAAACTGCGAACAACTCATAATCATCTTTTTTCTGTTTTAGTTTTTAATTTTATAAAGGTACAAGGTATAACTTTTATGGATACAGAATTACTGAATGTATCACTAGGCAATGTTTTGATTAGAATGTTCTCATCTTTATCGTTGTATAGAAATAACAGAAAAGTGTTCCTTGTTCAATTACTAATTAATATCTATCATAGAATTTATAAAAAATGGTTTTTTTTTTTTATAATTTGTAGCCAATCCTGGGAGGTCGAGCGGTAACACATGTTGGTAGTATGTTTGACTCTCAAAAATCGTTTGAGGGAATTTTACAGATCTCTAGTATGCCTATGTATGCCAGGTAAGTAATTTTACAGGTCTCTAGTATGCCTTTTCCGACGTCGGTTTCCCCTTGTCAGTGGTGCAGGACGGAGTGCCTGACAAGGACAGTTGTCTAGTCATTCGGATGCGTTGACTGAATAAGTAAATATCTCAACCAACCATGCAGCCGAAACCTTTTAATTGCGTCACGATTCTACTCACACCACCTCCATTGTCGGGACTGACAGATCTGTGACAGAACTGAATTCCGCCTGACTCGATCACAATTCTGTCAATTCGGGACATTCTGGACTGTGAATCGAGCATCCCCAAAGCCTTTTATTAATCAAGGGAAGTAACTCAACACAAAGCACTAAAGAAGGTTTCAGACCACTATTCCTTAATATGACACTATTGTTGGTTTTAAATAGGAATTTATTGTTTAGAAATTCAATGTTATTTATTTATTTTTTAACAGGGATTCTTTAGATAGTGCAGCCATAGTGGACAAGAGACCAGGATCTAGCATTGTAACACGTCAACGACCAATGAGTCGTAACTTCTCAAATCCTAGATCCATGGTTAAACGTAATCAACAGTTACCTCCCCTCTATAGTAGTGATCGAACTAAGGTAAGTACAATTCACATTAAGTCTTGAACATGTCGAGTAGGAATATTTGCATACAGTAAACTTCTCATAAGTCGGATCTAAGTGGACTGACCAATTTTATCCGAGTTAAGCGAAGATCCGAGTAATCCAAAGACCGAAATTCAGTCTTTGCTCAATTAGAAATAAACTGCAAGAGCTGGATAATAATTCGTTCAAAGGCACATTTCAAGATTTTGTTTGTATATGCGAGTAGATAACTTCCATTTTGGTGCGAGTAGATTACTTCCGTTTTGTTGCCATCTTTGAAAAATGTCCTAACTTTTCCCGGAAAGTGTCTCGTACAGCAGACAGCGAGTTTCAAATTTTCTGGGAAAATTCTATTATTGTGTCACATCAAATAGGCTGATTTGGGTCAAAATGATAGGGGAAAGTATTTTGGGGTTCTGTGCATGGAATACCTAACCGCGTTTTACACCATTGGGACAAAACTGCCTTAGTCAAATTCTGAACATACTGCCGATCCGACTTGGGCAAGGAAAAAATCTGGAATTAGATCAAATGGACCGAACAATTTTGATCCGAGTTGAGCAAAGATCCAACTTAGGAAATGGGTGCCATCATCTGTGAATCCCAACATTGTGAAGCCTTACTCTTTGTTTAATTAGGGCTGAAAATACCTGATTTAAAGATATATAGTGAGTATCATATTCAAAATAACTTTAATCTCGCCTTATTAAGAATCCTCCTTAGAGTAGGGGTTGGGGTTTTTTTTCGCATGAGTTGGGTAAACTTTTTAAGAACCGATAAAAAATTTTGTACAATTCATAAATTGATGTCTGTACGTCGGCAATTTATTGGCAGATTGGTCTAAAATTTTGAATACCATTTAATTTAAACATGCAGGATAGATTTATAGTCAAATCAATTGAAGTCAAAAATTATTATTTTTTTACTAGTGGTGTTATAGCTTTAATTATTTTTGATTATTTTTGCAGGAAGAAGAATCGTCAATGGATGCGTTACATGTTCATGTGAGAAAATTAGTACCTCATAATACTGGTGAGAGTATTTCTCCGCCACCATCATCGGCCATGTATCAACGTAATAATGCTCTACCTCCACTTCACATGGAGGTAAGTTCTATACACACCTGGTGGGGGGTTAGATCATAAGGTCTGTCATTGAATCAAAGGGGCATGGAAGTAATTTCTATGGTCAGTTGCGTATTTGTATCATAAAGTCTGTCATTGAGTCAACTGGTGTGGTTTCAATTCCTGGTTGTACGTGACAAGAAAATAAGGCCGTAGAGCAGGCCGTAGTGTCGCTGTCCTGTCAAATTTATTAGCCCAGTTGGTGCAAAACAGTTGGACGTTAATCCATATTTCATGTCATTTCAGTAAAAAACAGGTGAAACACACCATGGGTCTGATTGATGAACCATATAAAATTACACACTGTGGTGTCTTATCCCACGCTTTAAAGGGTGTAGCGGGAGGTTGATTTCCTGGTTCTACGTGACCTGTCCAACCTCGTGGGTTTTCTCTGGGTCCTCCGGTTTCCTCCCACTGTTAAAGACCCCTACAAGCAAGCGAATTATTGAAATAAATTTAAACCATATGTTAGTCCTGAAATGACCTTGTTTGTGTCGAGTGGATGTTAAACCCCATCTCTCTCTCTTTCTCGCTCTCTCTCTCTCTCCCTATGTACAAGCAAATTATTGAAATAAAATTGAACCATATGTTAGTCAAACCCATCTCTCTCTCTCTTTCTCTCTCTCTCTCTTAAACCCAAATTCTTAGTTTCATATTTTTTAGAAAAAGTAAAATATAATGATTGTTTTATATTGTAGAAAAGTAAAACGTACTATAATCGTGCTAGTAGTGCTATACATGTAGATAATAAAGATGGAAGAAATAATTTCTACACCAATCGTGCTAATTTACATGTTGAAAGACCAAGTACCACCAACGAGATGAGGGTAAGTTCATTTCATTAAATATCTTATATGTTGATTCCCGCATTTTAGATCATGGTTCCCACATTTTAGATCATGATTTCTGCATTATAGATCATGCTTCCCTCATTTAAGATCATGCTTCTCTTATTATAGATCATGCTTCCCTCATTTGAGATCATTCTTCCCTCATTTGAGATCATTCTTCCCTCATTTTAGATCATGCTTCTCTGATTTTAGATCCTGCTTCCCTCATTTTAGATCTTGCTTCCCTCCTTATACATCATGGTAACCACATTTTAGATCATGCTTCCCTCATTTTAGATTACTCTTCCCTCATTTGAGATCATTCTTCCCTCATTTTAGATCCTGCTTCTCTGATTTTAGATCCTGCTTCCCTCATTTTAGATCTTGCTTCCCTCCTTATATATCATGGTAACCACATTTTAGATCATGCTTCCCTCATTTTAGATTACTCTTCCCTCATTTTAGATCGTGCTTCTCTGATTTTAGATCATGCCTCTCTCATTTTAGATCATTCTTCCCTCATTTTAGATCGTGCTTCCCTCATTTTAGATCGTGCTTCCCTCATTTAGATCATACTTCCCTCATTTAGATCATACTTCCCTCATTTTAGATCGTGCTTCCCTCATTTTAGTTTGCACTTCTTTCATTTTCAGTTATGATTCTTATGAAATTATGGCTTTATTCTTATTTTTTTCAGTCTGATAATTTATCGATAGCAAATTTACGTCGATCTTCAACTCCCCTTGGTCAGAATAGATCTCATTTAATAGGTGAGTTAATGTAATTATACAAATAAAATAATAAGGTTATATAAGATTATAATCTGGATCTAGTTTCTACTAAACAGGAAACGGGACTTTCTCTTAGAACTGAACCCACATGACCAATTCCCTGCTGTTGCGATTAATGTTGAAAAGCTTAGTTTGTGTGAAATTAGTCGGCCAATGATAACAATGGCTCATGATTACTATCTAAATGTAGCACTGGTTAAAGAGATGATGGTGCTAATATACGTTTTGATCCATGAATAAAAGTCTTATAATGTTATATAGTTGTACGGATGAGACGAAAAATTTGATGTCCTGTGTACTCATTCGCATGCCTGTAAAAGAACCCTTGGCAGCTGGAATTTGATTATAAGAGTAGAACGTTGTGCCGCTATCCGGTCAAAATTCCCCTCATAGCACACTGTATGACATATGCCCTTCTTCATTGGCCCAGGGGGGTACGATGGCTGAATGGTTAGCACATGCGCGCTGTATCATAAGGCCTGTCATTGAGTTAACTGGCGTAGTTTTGAATCCCCGGTTGTACGTGACAAGGAATAGGGTCGTCTGTCTAACCCCGTGGGTTTTCCCCAGGTCCTCCGGTTTCCAACCACTGCTAAAGACCCCTATGCGCAAGCGAATTACTGAAATAAAATTAAACCATATGTTAGTCCCGAAATGACCTAGTTTGTGTTGAGTGGACGTTAAACCCCATTTCTCCTCTCATTAGCCCAGTCGGAGAGAACAGTTCGGCATTAAACCCTATCTCATTTCATTTATAATATTATATGTTTGTTGCAGGTAATAAAATGTTTATAAATGGAAGTGGTTTACAGCCGTCCAGTGATTATCCACATCTACAGCCCGATATATTGGAGGATCACGAGGGTTCCATAGAGGAGGGGATACAACATAATAATCATTGGCGTAAGTAGCGACAAGTTAATCTTTCCTAATCAGTTTATTTTTTATAAACAATATTTTATTTCATTTGAAATTGGATTAGGGAACAGGCTAGGCCTATGTTGATTCCTCTCCAGGAAGTAAGTAGTTACAGTTTCTGTATCATTATTTCAGGATGGGTTTCTGTTAAAGAGGTATTATCACTGTCTCCAAGAAAATAACTAGAGATAATTTTGGAATGATATCATATTTAATATGATGTTAAGCCAAATAACTGAAAATCTCAGTACTAATTAACCTACTTGCAAAGATGTGTTTAAAAACGCCTTGGAAACCACTAAATAAAGCAGACTCTCGTGAATAGTTTAAAAGTATATCTCATATTTCGCATACAAATAAATTTTCTGCCCTGTAAAGATCTCAAAAGCTGTAATGCCTCTTTAAACTAAATATATGGCGATGAATTTATATAAGCTATGGCTTGTTTTCAGATCCACAATATCAGTATTGTAAATAATCATGTTATAATAAAAATAAAATATTGTTTAAACCAGACTAAAATGTATTTACCTGAAAGTGGTGTATAGATATATAATAATCTGTCTATACCGACATGTAATTTACCTGCATCTCACATGTCAACACTCGCAAAAAGTAATTTATTTCTATTCTATGTAAACTAGTAATTCATTTCTATTCTATGTAAACTGGTAATTTATTTCTGTTCTATTTACACTAGTAATTTATTTCTATTCTATTTTCACTAGTAATTCATTTCTTTATTATAACTATTCTATTTACATTAGTAATTCATTTCTTTATAGGACTTTATTTATTTATTCCATAGGATAATGCTCAATTGTTAGTTCTGAACATGTCAAAAGTGTAACACTTGTTGATTAATTTGCATGGGACAAAAAAAAAACCCAACAACGCGATATTAAAAGTTAATGGAAAAGCCATTCAAGCATTTTATCAAACCATCAATAAACTTTTGACTCGAATGTCACTTTGAGTCATTACTCAGAAATTTTTCAGTACCATCTGAATTTTAGGACCGTCAATTGAGCATCTCGCCATATTCTCTGCTATATTTATATTATATATTCTAGTAAAATCTATCTGTAATCTGTTCACCTTCAGTTATGACTAGTTTTAATTTCTCCTTTATATATATGTCTAAATATTCTTATTTTTATCACTAAACTTTACAGGAACTTTTTCTTGGGAGAACTATTGAAACTGGGTAATTTTGACAACTTTTACAGAGTTCTAGCACACGACTTGAAAAAGTTTTTTGCACGTTAGCAGATTTTCTGTTAGTCAGAATAAAATCAAGCATTGTCTTTGGAAAATTGGGTGTCAAAATCTTTTCAGTTTAACACACAATCTGCTAATATAACAACGAAATGAAAGACTTGACCATTTAAGGCGTGATTACTTGATAAGTAGCTTAAAATCAAATCTCGGAGTAAATTAGGACAGTTTTAAGAAACTGTCTTCATTGCATAATTTAAAATCTGTCATTTAGAGGATTATTAAACACTAACAAACTACAATATTGTGAAATTTGAATGGCTAAAAGCTATATCAGTCCAAAGTGGTTCCTTTTCATTTAGTATTTACTATTTACAAAGACATGAATTGAAATTGTCAATATTTGAGGGGGGTGAATGGCTGAATGGTTAGCGCGTCTTTGAGTCAACTGGCATGGTTTCGATTCCCTGGTTGTACGTGACAAGGAGTAGGGTTGCCTGTCCAACCTCGAGGGTTTTCTCCAGGTCCTCTGGTTTCCTCCCACTGATAAAGACCCCTACGCGCAAGCAAATTATTGAAGTAAAATTGAACCATATATTAGTCCCAAAATAGTTTGAGTCGAGTGGACATTAAACCCCATTTCTCTCTTTCTCTGGGTCGTCTGGTTTCCTTCCACTGCTAAAGACAGCTACACGCAAGCACATTATTGAAGTAAAATTGAACCATATATTAGTCCCAAAATGACCTGGTTTGTGTTGAGTGGACATTAACCCCCTCCCTCTCTCTCTCTCTGTCAATATTTGGCATCCACTGTCCACAATATAGTCAATACGAACCAGAGCCACATATCTTTTTTGGTGTGCCGCGATTTAATCCTTTTGAATCCAAGCCAGAGCCAGGATATATTCCGATATCTTTACTGACAAGTTATGCCAATATGACCAGCTCTTGAAACCAGCCAACCTGTAATCGAGATTTGATTTTAAGTTTTCAAGGATATCGTCAAAAGGGTCTTTGGTCGAATCTTATGTTATATATTTTATGCACTTTGTTGATTTTTGGTGATAGTTGAAATTGCAGTGACACTTTTTTGAAAATGTTAAAAATCACATAAATGATTATTTAATATTTTGGTCAAAAATATCCGAAAATGTTTGTTGTCTTTTGTGCATATTTTGATATTTTGTCCATCAGCAGATAGTCACGATGTGTAGGTTCTGTTTTTAGTATGTTCAAAAGTTGACTTTTAAAAGTAAGATGACCTAATCTTCCTGACGGTCAAACATCAAAATAGCCATAAAAAATGCAGCGAAAGAATCAAACTTTTCAGATTAATATAAATGACAGAGATGAACAGTATAAGATAAAATGTAATTAATCAATTGCTCGTCTGTATGGGCTGATTACTACTCGTACATAGATAGGAGGGTGGATGGCCGAATGATTTAACCAGTGCATGCTAGATCATCAGGGCTGTCATTGAGTCAAATGGCATGGTTTCAATTCCCCACTTGTACGTGAAAGGAGTATGGTGGCCTGTCCAAATTCATGGGATTTCTCTGATTTCCTCCCGCTGCTAAAGACCACTATGTGCAAGTGAATTATTGAAATAAAATTGAACCAAATGATGATATCACCTACTAGCTCGTATCAAGTGGATGTTAAACCCCATTTCTCTTTCTCTCAAGGTAGTTGATTTTTTTTAGCTCCTTTTGGGAGCCTTGACGAAAAGGTTACAGACCTATTTCTCCCTTTTCAGTACTCAATGGTGAAGGACCTAAAAGAAAGCTTGACAGTAAGGTGGAAACAGCACTGTCCGAGCAAAATTTGTTTCATGATACACTGCATGGCGTATGCCTGTTTTCCATAGACGTATTGGTGCAGCAGTGTAGGACATTAACTCCCTTTTATTTCTATTTAGAACCTGACAAACCTTGGGGCCCTTATTCACGAAAACTTAAACTAAGATACAATCGAAATTTTAAGAAATACTGCAATTCGATTGGCTGACCAGTAAAATTAATTTGCATATATCCAATTTGCATATTGGTCAGCCAATCGAATTGCAGTATTTCTTAAAATTTCGATTGTATCTTAGTTTAAGTTTTCGTGAATAAGGGCCCTGATTTATAGTGAACAGTCATACTCTTTAACATCCTATACTAGTGCATGACTTACATTTTTTTTCTCTTGTTTTTCTTACAGCCACAAGTAATTTATCAAACAACAATCGAATACGTCGACAGCGGCCAAGATATTTAGTAGATGCCAAATGATTATACCAACGTTGATCCTGAGTAAAATAACGTACCATATCAACATGTGATCTTTTACGTAAACATACAGTTTCGCCTCAAAATGCATTTGAACATAAAAAATGAGAATGTAATATCTGACGACTTCTGTACGATCAAAGATCTATGGAAAATGATAGTGAAATTGTATTTGATTTTCTGTAAAGGGGACGGGGATAACCCAAATTACTATAATTAGAATCTTGTTACTAAATATAGCTTAGGAAATCCCTGAGACATTGCCATAAACGATTAATAGGTTAGTTAAACTCAGGAACAAAATTCTGCAGTTGGGGTGTGGAAAATTTGTGCTTAGCATAAATTCATAAATCAGGATGTCTGGAAAATTTAGACTATGATTCCAATAAAAGCAGTGATTATCCAGTACTGTTGTTATCTGTCTCAGACAACTGTGCTGAAATAAAATGTGATATGACTAAATGAATAGCCTATAATTGACATAATGCTTGTATAACGCAAGATGAAGGTTTGAGACTCATTTAGAATCGATTTGTAAGACTTGTGTAACTAAATATAGATTGATACTCTGTGAACCAGGAAAAAAAACTGGAGCTATTGGACATCAACACATCCATATGTTTTTGTGAAAACTTTTTATGCTAAACCACAGAAAAGTCTGTTGATTGTGAGTGTAAACAAAGTGTGAGTTGATACATTTTTATGGAATCAACGGAACGGAAACTCGGAGATTCAGATCTCCTCATTGCTGTGATGGTTGTAGTCTTGTAGAAACAATGAATAGAGCATTCAGACATTGAAAGTTGAGTGAATGCCATGTTTTTGTTTTGATTTCAGGATTTTGCTCCTTCCTTTTTCTCGAGTTCTGGAATCATGGATTTTACATGAATTTTGTTACGAGTAAAATACTAAAATTTGGTGCAAACGACATTGAACAAGTGCTACGTTTTGATTGACTTTTTCTGAATTTTACGACATTAGGGTATTAGAAATACGTTGATATTGTCAAGATTATTCTCTCCATGTCTTTTAATTGGTCGAGATCAGTTATCTAGATTACTTTTATTAAAGGACATTGGTGAACTTGATATACTGCACCAGTTACTCAGATCACATGACCAGATCAACCAATTACAAGAGAAACATAGGTTAAAGTGAAATAAAATAAATATCGCATAAGTCGGATCTCTAAGTGGACTGGCCAATTTTATCCAAGTTAAGCAAAGATCCGAGTTAGCCGAAGACCGAAATTCAGTCTTTGCTTGATTAGAAATAAACTGCAAGAGCCGGATAATAATTGATTCAAAGGCACATTTCAAACTTTTGTTCGTGTGTGCGAGTAGATAACTTCCGTTTTTGTCGCCATCTTTGAAAAATGTCCTAAATTTTCCCGGAAAGTGTCTCGTACAGCAGACAGCGAGTTTCAAATTTTCCAGGAAAATTCTATTATTGCGTCGCGTCAAATCGGCTGATTGGAGTCAAAATGATAGGGGAAAGTATTTTGGGGCTCTGTGCATGGAATACCTAACCGCGTTTTAGACCATCGGTACGAAACTGGCTTAGTCAATTTCTGAACATACTGCCGATCCGACTTAAGCAAAGGACAAAGCCGGAATTAGATCAAATGGACCGAACATTTTGATCCGAGTTGAACAAAGCTCCGTGCAGAAATTTAATAAGAAAAACATGCAGGATCAAAGGGTCCAAACGATTTGATTGAAGATCCGGCTTATATCCATCCGACTTATGCAAGGTTTACTGTATTGGTTGAATTATTATTCTGGTTATATTTGACCTCAAGGAGCCATTTTGCTCCATTATTTATAATTCAGGTTACCTGGATTCCAGCCTCCTCGAGCTAAGTCTCGGTTGTTATATTCAGGTTTTTCCATTCTTGCCTATTAAATAGTATATAATGTTATAATTATTTCAATTATAAAAATATCGTCATTAGGAATGTAAACACATTCTGTGTACATAGGTTGTTTTTTTTTTTAAATGCCCACATTTTATATGGGAGTTCAGGCTCGTCATTCTATCTGTCCAACGATCTTGTTAAAGTTACAATTTCATATTTTTAAGTTATATTTTTAAAATGTATTAAAATAAAGCCCTAAAATAGATGGTATCTATAAACAGTCCTGAGAAATTGGCAAAAATATCATTTTCAACTTCAAATTCAAACGTTTGAAGATAGCTATTCCATGGTGGGGGAATAGGAAAACAGGGGAGGTAATTGGGAGGTAATTATGTGATTATTTCCGGTGTGAAGATTTGTAAATGTGAGAAAGATAACCTATGATTGTATAATAGTGAGTTGACAACCTATTGATCAAAAGACATAGAAATAATTATGTTTTGACTTTTCTTAGAAAATATGAAATTGTAACTTTAATGTAAAAACTTGCTGGGATTGTTCAGTTTAGGGGTTGTGTGGCCGAATGGTTTAATGCGTGTGCATTAGATCATAAGGTCCGTCATTAAGTTAAATAGGCGTGGTTTCGATTCCCTGCTTGTACATGACATGGAGCAAGGTCGTCTGTTCAACTTTAGGATTTTCCCCTGGTTTCCTCTTTAACTGAAATAAAATTGAATCATATGTTAGTGCCAAAATGACCTAGTTTGTGTGAAGTGGACATTAAACCCCATTTCTCTCTCTCTTTAACATAAATAAGAATGACTTTTACTTCTCAAAAAAAAAAAAACTGCTGGTGGGTGTAGATAAGTTACCTGGTATTTCTATTCCTAATGAACAGGAAAAACAATCTTATCTAATTATATATAAACTCACATTAAAACAGTTACTAAATGATTTGTCCAGTCAAATCTTGTGCAAAAACAGACTTATTAGCTACAATTAAAGTCCCGGAATACCAGAATAAAGGTTAAATTATAGGCGTTTTTATCAACTACTGATTAGTCAGTCATTTGTATTCAATCAATTTTTCATCTTTAATGTCCCATGTAATTCAAATTGATTACCCTAATCAACAAATTTATCGACACCGATTTCTGAAGCGATTACCACAAATCACCTTTAGTTGCGATTTGATCTCGTGGTCACATATTTTTTTCTGCTATGTCCAGCCACAGGAATGTTTACAGCTATTCGGCGTATTTAACGAAGATACTTTGAAATCAACTATATCGCCACATGAAATCTCAACTAAAAACAAATCAATTTGGCAAGTCGATAAAAACGCCTGTAGTAGAGTTAAAGACTGTACACAAATCAAACTTTTTGGGGGTCCAATTATTATTGAAATTTATCAATTTCTAACATAATATCTGGCCATTTTTAATTTACATTAACCTTTCAACTTTACATCTGTGGAGCTCAATGAAGTATTGGCCTTATTTGGGGGAAATATTCAATTTATTTTTGGTGGGTGGGGGGGGGGAGGGGTCAACAAATATTCTTTAACATTTTATAGGTAACGTAAATAAGTTTTACTGTTTTTATTTTAATGAATAAATAAATTAGAATGTATATTTAGGGTAATTTATTTATGTATGTATATACAAGATATATTAAATATATCCATGTAAATATTAACTTACCTACATTATAGAAATATCAAATAATTCAAAAATTGTTATTTTTTGTTTTTTATATGTTAAAATACACATTCAGGGGTTAGCGCCTGCGCATTGCATCATAAGATCTGTCATCGATTCCCTGGTTATACGTGACAAGGAGTAGGGTCGCCTGTCCAACCTCATGGGATTTCTCCTGGTCAATTTTGACCAAAATGTCAGTTAGAACCCTGTAATTCTCAGGTCGAGACGTGTTAAATCCCCATTTTCAATCTATTTACACTGTTCGTGGGATTGAGAGATTTCCACTGCTCGGGGGTTGGATGGGTTAGCGCGTGTGCTTGTTGTATCACAAGGTCTGTCATTGAGTCAACTGGCGTAGTTTTGTATGTGAAAAGGAGTAGGGTTGCCTGTCCAACCTCGTGGGTTTTCTCTGGGTCCTCCGGTTTCCTTCCACTGCTAAAGACCCCTACGTGCAAGTGAATTATTGTAATAAAATTGAACCATATGTTAGTTCCTAAATGACCTAGTTTGTGTTGAGTGGATGTTAAACCCCATTTCTCTCTCTCTTTTTTCCCACTCCACCATTGTATTTCTGATTGATATTTTGAAATACTCGGGCTCAGAAATAACGGTTTTAGATGTACCTGACAAAATGTCAGGCACTAATGAATAGTACTTGACATTTTCAACTTAGTGCCGGCCATGTATTAATAATATCAACAAGCCAACAGTGAGGCTGATGTCCCCCGCCGAAATAGGAAAATAATTAGAGGACACATATAAATTTATCACAAATTATCTTTTACAAAGTATTGAACAATCAAACAGTATATCTTTACTTATAGTCTAACAATCAAAGTAGGAGAGTTATTGTTTTCCAAAGTCTCGACCAATCAAATTGCGTATCGCTCTGCTTACCCTGAGCAGAAAATGCTCATTATCAAACTTAGTCAAGGTATTACTGTAATGAAACTATACACCAAGTTTCATCAATCTCACTTAATTAGAACTAAAGTTATCGTGTCCCAAAGCATCAACCAATCAAATTGCTTATCTCTGCTTACCCTAAGTGGAAAATGCTCATCTTCGAACTCCATCAAGGCATTGACCTAATCAACACATACACCAAGTTTGAACATTCTAGCTCAATTAGGAAGAGAGTTATCGTGCCCCAAAGTATCAACCAATCAAATTGCTGCTTACCCTAAGCAGAAAATGCTCATTATCAAACTTAGTCAAGGTATTACTGTAATGAAACTATACACCAAGTTTCATCAATCTCACTTAATTAGAACTAAAGTTATCGTGTCCCAAAGCATCAACCAATCAAATTGCTTATCTCTGCTTACCCTAAGCGGAAAATGCTCATCTTCGAACTCCATCAAGGCATTGACCTAATCAACACATACACCAAGTTTGAACATTCTAGCTCAATTAGGAAGAGAGTTATCGTGCCCCAAAGTATCAACCAATCAAATTGCTTATCTCTGCTTACCCTAAGCGGAAAATGCTCATCTTCGAACTCCATCAAGGCATTGACCTAATAAACACATACACCAAGTTTGAACATTCTAGCTCAATTAAAAGTTATCGTGTCCCAAAGCATCAACCAATCAAATTGCTTATCTCTGCTTACCCTAAGCGGAAAATGCTCATCTTCGAACTCCATCAAGGCATTGACCTAATCAACACATACACCAAGTTTGAACATTCTAGCCCAATTAGGAAGAGAGTTATCGTGTCCCAAAGCATCAACCAATCAAATTGCTTATCTCTGCTTACCCTAAGCGGAAAATGCTCATCTTCGAACTCCATCAAGGCATTGACCTAATAAACACATACACCAAGTTTGAACATTCTAGCTCAATTAGGAAGAGAGTTATTGTGTCCCAAAAAGTGTGACGGACAGACGGACAGACAGACGGACGAACCCATTTTAATAGTCCCCTGCTTTCTTCGAAAGGCGGGGGACAATAAAAAAGACAAATCGGTGTCGGACAAAATGACAGTGACAGGCACCAGAGGTTTTATGCTTGACATTGTCTGTGACAGGTGCCTTATTTCCAGGCTTGGAAATACTATGCATTTGAGGAGTTGGGAGTGGCTTTAAAATTGAGAACACATAAATAATTCATTTAATTTTATCATCTTTATTTCAAAATGCACAGATAAACTGTGTCGCAGAAATAATTCTTACTTCTATTACAACCATCTTACTTTTTATGTGAAATTTATGCAGGAGTAACAACAATACTATATAAGGTCATTTGCCAGTCTTGTGGTCTACGTAGTTTGACTGCTGACAAATCAAAAAACATGGGATAAGTAGGCCTACTTTTCACAGAGCAATAGAAAAAATTAATCATGATTATGTGACAAAGTAATGGCTATGATGAGCTGTTAATGTTTCTTTAAGAATATCACCAGAAGTTAAATCTCTCAAAATTGATTACCAGTAGTCTATATTGCCGTATAACTTTTAATTCAGGTCTCGACCCACTATTGATCAGATTGGTATTAAAGGAGATGGTCCACTTATTTAGCTATTGTAAGAATATAGAAACAGGAGGACTATTTCCTTTAAGAGATTTGAGTTTTCACCTCAATTTCATGCATATATATGTTTCTTGAATTCCTAAATTTCAATCTGGTATACGTTCAATGCAACTCCATCATCTTTTTAAAGCCTGATGCATTTTATAACCTAACAATGAATGATCATTTTAACTGATGTCATATAACACTATTTAGAATCATAATGCTAAAACAGATTGCAAACATTTTATTGGCTCAGCCACATCCAAATATACTACATGTTCTCAAATAAAATATTTAATCTTACTAAAATACAAAATAAAGGATGAAAATAAACATGTATCGGGTTATGAATGAATGCTCCTATCAATATCTTGTGCTCCTAAATGTATCAGGTTATGAATTAATGCTCCTATCAATATCTTGTGCTCCTAAATGAGATCTATTTTATTAATATATTATAAACAAATAAAGTAGGTGCCTTGGTTCTCTAACACTCGCGCTACCCTTGGTAAGGATGGAGCAATTATTTTGTTTTCCCCAATTCCTTTTTTTCATATTTGTTTTATATTCTATATTTAATATTTTACCATCTTCATTAACATCTCACAAGTTTTATCTTTGTGTCATGGTCTCACTTGTGTACTCTGAGCAACCAATCAAAACGCAGGTCTTCCAATTACACCCAGACAATGTCCACTGATCTATTTAGTAATTTATACTACGCATAACCAGGCCCATCATCGCAGCAGCTTTCAATATGTGTCAGATCATATGTAGTCAAGAAACATACAAAGGGTAGCCACTCGCTTGAAAACCAAGGAGAAAGACAAACTACAGTTATTTGGGAAAACCAAAGGACAAACTACAATTATTTGGGTAAACCAAGGAGGACAAACTACATTTATTCGGGACAACCAAGGAGAAGGATAAAATTCATTTATTCGGGACAACCAAGGAGAAGGACAAACTACATTTATTCGGGAAAATCAAGGACGACAAAATACAGATAATGGGGGAAAAATCAAAAACATTTTTTCTTCACCAACAATTATAATAAATAAGTAAAAGTTTCTACAAAATCAGTTTTCTTTCTCTGTTACCAATGACTGTGATCCAGAAAACAATAAGTCTCTTCATTGGGTAATATTTATTATTATTACAATAGCAAAAATAATTTCATTTCTCCACTTCTCTTTAATTCAGTTTTTAATATTATGATTAAAAAAATCTTTTTACAGAACAGGAAACAATCTTAGAGAGCTACTGAGCGTCAGAAATTACCAGGAGAGTATGACGATATCTTGCAAGAATTGAACGTTAAAAAGACTAGGAAGTTAAAATTAAGTGTCTATCTCTACATCGGACTCCATTGATCCTATTCTCCACTTCTTTTTAAATCCAATTTTAATATCATGATTAAAATAATCTTTTTACAGAATTTACCAGGAGATGATGGCAACACATTACAAGAGTTGAACGTTAAATTTGTTTGTAATTAAGTGTTTATCCCCACTCCTGAATCCATGGATCCTATTTCATCATCAAAACAGATAGAGACATGAACACATTTTCTCTAATGCCCTGGGGACTCTAAGATTCTAACAATTAATGGAGACTAGCCGATTTATTTACCGTTGAACATTGACTTTAAAAAAAAATTAAAAAAACCTAAATGGGAGCTCTTCTATTGTTTGTAATAAATTATAATGTATTAGAAGTAAATCTGAGTTAGAAACCACCTGTGTCAAGAGTATAGATATATAATAGATAAAATATATAAATATTGAAACAATGATATATTTGCCAAAAGTTATATTACACTATAATACATTATACAATATTATACTACCATATTTAACCAAATAAACACCAGCTTATTTAACGCCTGTGAAGGACAGGATGCAAATCTCGTTTAATTACAAGACAAAATATTTGACAACTTTTAATAATAGCCTTCAAGATGTTAAGACATCTTTTAATGTTAGCCTTTAAGATGTTAGGACAACTTCTACTGTTAGCCTTCAAAATGTTAGGACATCTTTTAATGTTATCCTTAAAGATGTTAGGACAACTTCTAATGTTAGCCTTCAAGATGTTAGTTAGGACATCTTTTAATGTTAGCCTTAAAGATGTTAGGACACCTTTTAATGTTAGCCTTAAAGATGTTAGGACACCTTTTAATGTTAGCCTTCAAGATGTTAGGACACCTTTTAATGTTAGCCTTAAAGATGTTAGGACATCTTTTAATGTTAGCCTTAAAGATATTATTGCAACTTTTAATGTTAGCTTTCAAGATGTTATGACACCTTTTAATGTTAGCCCTCAAAATGTTAGGACATCTTTTAATGTTAGCCTTAAAGATGTTAGGACAACTTCTAATGTTAGCCTTCAAGACGTTAGTTAGGACATCTTTTAATGTTAGCCTTAAAGATGTTAGTAAGGACATCTTTTAATGTTAGCCTTAAAGCTGTTAGGACATAATTTAATGTTAGCCTTAAAGATGTTAGGACATCATTTAATGTTAGCCTTCAAGATGTTAGTTAGGACATCTTTTAATGTTAGCCTTAAAGATGTTAGGACACCTTTTAATGTTAGCCTTAAAGATGTTAGGACACCTTTTAATGTTAGCCTTCAAGATGTTAGGACACCTTTTAATGTTAGCCTTAAAGATGTTAGGACATCTTTTAATGTTAGCCTTAAAGATATTATTGCAACATTTAATGTTAGCTTTCAAGATGTTATGACACCTTTTAATGTTAGCCCTCAAAATGTTAGGACATCTTTTAATGTTAGCCTTAAAGATGTTAGGACAACTTCTAATGTTAGCCTTCAAGACGTTAGTTAGGACATCTTTTAATGTTAGCCTTAAAGATGTTAGTAAGGACATCTTTTAATGTTAGCCTTAAAGCTGTTAGGACATCATTTAATGTTAGCCTTAAAGATGTTAGGACATCATTTAATGTTAGCCTTAAAGATGTTAGTTAGGACATCTTTTAATGTTAGCCTTAAAGATGTTAGGACAACTTCTAATGTTAGCCTTCAAGACGTTAGTTAGGACATCTTTTAATGTTAGCCTTAAAGATGTTAGTAAGGACATCTTTTAATGTTAGCCTTAAAGCTGTTAGGACATCATTTAATGTTAGCCTTAAAGATGTTAGGACATCATTTAATGTTAGCCTTAAAGATGTTAGTTAGTACATCTTGTAATGTTAGCCTTAAAGATGTTAGGATAACTTCTAATGTTAGCCTTCAAGATGTTAGTTAGGACATCTTTTAATGTTAGCCTTAAAGATGTTAGACCAGAAAGTTACAAATGTTCACCTTAACCCATGCAATCTGTGTCATGAGTAAATGAAATGAAATGGGGTTCTGCTCTGACTGGTCTAATGAAGACCATACAGTCTACTATGAGGGAAAATGATCAGGCTTTGCCATAATCAGCAATTTGTATTTTCCCAAAATTCAAAATTTGAATATAGGGAAAATATAGAGCTAGAGTTTATTTGGTTGAATATGTAAAACAGATATTAAATATTTTATAGATATATATATATTTTTAAGGAGGGGCAGTATTTTACAAAGGGCAGTGCATTAGGAGGGAGGGTGTGTGTGTGTCTTTGGGTAGGTACATGAATGTGACGAAGTTCATAATTTATATTTATATCCATTGAAATAGGTCATATTAACAGCTTAAATCAAATAATCCAAAGTTAAAATCAATTTGGATTTTCAAAAAATGGATCTAAGAAGTTTATAGACCTAATATAGAATTGAATATATATTTCTAAGTGAAAATATGATATATCTTAATTTGAAATAAAAACAATTACAAGAACTTATGAATAAGTTAAAGATGATCGCATAAAAAGTTAAACTTGTAATAACGGCCAAAATCCATCCCAGATTTCTCATCGGCCATTTAAAATCAAGTTAGCAGGACCTGTAAGTCTGGTTAAACAAGACTACAAGGAAATTATATATCTAAGCCTGTAATTCAAGACTACTATTTACATATGTAAATCAATATGTGGATATTAAAACAATGATGTAAACATTTCATTTAATATTAAATTTTAACACAAGGGAATCTTGGATGATAGGCTTAGAGATGACCCCAGTAATGTTGAAAAAAAAAAAAACCTCTATCTTAATGTGCGCATTCTGTAATTATATTACATCAATTTGCATAAATTAATTATGCTGTACAAATATTTACATAGCTTGTATCAGGGCTGCTAATATTATATCAGGGCTGAAAGATATTATATGTACTACTGTCAGATGATACACAGATACTGTACTATTAGACAAGGATAAAGTGCATGTTATAGTCAAAGAGCTTCAGGCAGAAATTAAAGGTATGATGTGGTCAAAGTGCTACAAACAGGGATGATATATTGTACTGACAGAGGGCTACAGACAGTGGTGATAGATATTGTACTGTCAGAGAGTTATAGACAGTGGTGATAGACAAGAGAGTTATAGACAGTGGTGATAGATATTGTACTGTCAGAGAGTTATAGACAGGGGTGATAGATATTGTACTGTCAGAGAACTACAGACAGGGGTGATAGATATTGTACTGTCAGAGAACTACAGACAGGGGTGATAGATATTGTACTGTCAGAGAGTTATAGACAGTGGTGATAGATATTGTACTGTCAGAGAGCTACAGACAGGGGTGATAGATATTGTATTGTCAGAGTTATAGACAGGGGTGATAGATAAAGTGGTATGATTTTCATAATTCCATCACAGTTTTTCAACTGCATAAATAAATACTTCATCTAACACTGTAACCCAGGTATCATTTAATCTTGTGTATTTAGCATTAATTTTTCACATTCATTCAACATCAAATGGGGATTAACGTCCTACTGTTCTGCTCCAACTGGGCTAATGAAGACGGCATACCCCATACAGTGTGCTATGAGGGAAATTTTGTTCGGACAGCGGCGCTACGGACTACTCTTATATATCTGAAATAACTCGACAGCTGGGGAAACCACGCTGGACAAACCTTGATGAACTTTCTCAGCCAACATCGGGAGAAAACACAAGACCTCCAGGCTAGCGAGCCAGCGTCTTATCCACCATGGTTACCCAGTTTAAAGCTGTCCGATTAATTTTGATAATGATTGTCCAGTTTACAAACATTTAATTTCCTGAACAATGTTCAAAAATAAATCATTATACATCAATAATCAATTGGGTTGTTTATTTATTAACAGTGATGGAGAAATTACACACTTTGGACAGTCGCTATCAAAATTGAATGGTCAGCTTTAAACTGGACACAATTACAAATTAGATAATTTTGGATGAATTGAAGTGATTTTTAGAAATTTTCAAACAAAGATTTGATATTAAATGAATGTGAAAGAAATTAATGCCAAATACACAAGATTAAATGATATCCAGGTTACAGTGTATATTGTATCCAGGACAAATGAAAACTTTTTAGAACCTCATTGCCTGGAACTAAAAATGCAAGAAATACTAGACACGATATGACAAATAAATGCAAACAGATTATTATTAAATAAAATGGTATTAAAACAAATTATATCATAAAACATTCATAATTCCTATCAATAAACATACGATAATTTAAACATGAAATTATGAGGAATTAAATTACCCATACCAATTTCAAAATACTTACAATAATTAATACATCTTCAAATTAAAATTACAAAAATACAAAACACCAATAAGGAATTTTATAAACAATCATCTTCGTATACCAGGGCTTTCAATTCACAACTTTACCAGATGTTCAATTTTTGACCAGTTTTATTTACTTCAAATTAACAAGTTAGAAATCTATGAGTGGTGAGTAGCCGTCCCAGATTTCTCTAATGAAGCGATTAGTTTCGTTCAGTTTGAACTCATCAGGCTTAAGAGAGATTGTGCGGATGTTCCTTTTATTGTTGTCGGGTACCGGAGCATAAAATGAGTCTTGGGTGGACCGGCCAAGTGCTGTATCAAGATATTTTGTCCATTTTACACATAAAAATTAAGAGATTATCTGTATTTTTTGTGTTTTAATTTTAAATTCTTTGAAATTTGAATTTTCTGACATATAAATTGAGCAACTGGTAAATTCTTCATCTGGTCAATTTGACAGTCAATCAGTCAAGTCTGGTGAATACCAACAAGATTTGTACAAAATCATGTTCTTTCCCTTTTTATTCTCCATCATCAAAGACTTTAGAATATTAGTATTATACCGTCATATCAAGGCTTCAGGTAATATCTAATCTTTTATGACCATATCAAGACTTCAGGTAATATCTAATATTAGTATCATATGACCATATCAAAGACTTCAGGTAATATCTAATATTAGTATTATACAACCATATCAAAGACTCCAGGTAATATCTAATATTAGTACCATACGACCCTAACCATACCATAGACTTTAGGTAATATCTAAAATTAGTATTATATGACCAGATCAAAGACTTTAGGTAATATCTAATATCAGTATTATATGACCATATCAAGACTTCAGGTAATATCTAATATTATACGACCATATCAAAGACTTCAGATAATATCAAATATTACCCGACCATATCAAAGACTTCAGATAATATCTAATATTACCCGACCATATCAAAGACTTCAGGAAATATCTAATATTACACGACCATATCAAAGACTTCAGGTAATATCTAATATTATTATTATACGACCATATCAAGACTTCAGGAAATATCTAATATTAGATTCTAATATTAGTATTATACGACCAAATTAATATAATATTATTCAAATTATCACGCAACTTGTTTATTATAATATATATGTTGTGTGATAAATTGCATCTGACAAAATCTGTGACAGGTTTCTTATGTCCAGGGCTTGTTTATAATCAAGAATTAATTCCTTTTAACTAAACAAATAATATAAATAAAAAATTTATTATAAACAACATTACTTTCACTTTGGATTTTTTGACTACTTAAAATAAACAAGATTAAATCTTTTAATTCAGTGACTAATTAACAACTTCTGTTATTTTCATGTCAATTTTATGCCTAGTTTGAGGCGAATCTGTCAGTGTAATTGTATGTGTAGCGAAAACTTCCAGGCTTATAATAAATACATATACAAACAAAATACTGGTAAGTTCAAGTCTACATCTTTCAAACCCTGTACAGCGTGAGATAATACAACTTGGGATATGCTTAGTGTCGCTAAGAAGAGAAGAAAAAATTCAACGCCCGATTGACGTCATAATCTGCCGCTAATGCCACTCTGACAAGTTCGTCTCTGGGTACGGAGTCACCTATTATGTCTCGTAACGCTGATAAACAGGTTTCTAACCGTGTTGCATCTTCCATAAAAGGTAAATCTTCTGATGAGGAAGATGTCTCGTCAGGCTGAAAAAAAACCCCAGGAAATTATTCATACGAAAATAATTGTCATTAAATTTATGCAGAAAATTGAATCTATCAGTACTTATTGAATTGTATACCCTAAACCAAATAGTTCACTTGGTAACCATTCATTTTATGTACAAGCACCCCCTCCCCTGCTTCCTTGGAATAAATTTCCAATAGATATTAGAACATGCACCTCAATGTTTACCTTCAAAAAACTCTCTAAAAAACACATCTTTTAAAAGATTTAAAGTTCAAATTAGAGTTAAAACTTATTATAACTTACCAGAGTACAGCCTAGATCTATATCTATATTAAAACTTACCAGAGTACAGCCTAGATTTATATTATAACTTACCAGAGTACAGCCTAGATCTATATCATAACTTACCAGAGTACAACCTAAATCTATACTGTAACCTACCAGAGTACAGCCTAGATCTATATCATAACTTACCAGAGTACAGCCTAGATCTATATTATAACTTACCAGAGTACAGCCTAGATCTATATTATAACTTACCAGAGTACAGCCTAGATCTATATTTGTTGGCAATTCATCTGTTTCACTAAAACTTGATCGTGAACTGTTGTTATCACGGTGACTACCTGGACTTCTTCCATCTAAACTATAATCAAAATCAACATTTAGAACCTGTTAAAACTCTTCAAGATTAACATCTACTCGACAGAAACCAGGTTATTTCGGGATTAACATATGGTTTAATTTTATTTCAATAATTTGATGGTGCGGAGGGGTCTTTAGCAGTGGGAGGACAGGGGACCCTGTCATGTACAACTGGGGAATTGAAACCGCACCTGTTGACTCAATGACAGACCTTATGATACAACACGTACACGCTAACCATTCGGCCATCCAACTCCACCCCCCCTCACATATGTTTAATATCAAATCTTTGTTTACAAATTAGATGATTTATAGTGATTTTAAATGATTTTTAGAAATTTGTAAACAAAGATTTGATATTGAATGAATGTGAAAGAAATTAGTACTTAATACACAAAATTAAATGATGACAAACCAGAGATCTCCCACATGTACCTGAAGGGAATCTAATTTAAATATATGCTTGATAATGACAAGAGAAGCCTAGTCGAAATGTCGCTCAGTAATAAGCTGTAATTGTATTCCATAGAATCGTGACCTGCATAGTGAAGAAATTTAATCTCACCCATGCCATGTAATATAATCTCCTATCTCAATCTGTAAATGATCTGGTAATTCACAGAATTCTTCATTATTAGCTATCTCAGGATGTTCGACTATATAATTTAATGTATACTCCTGGAAGGAAAAGAAACAAGTTGCTAGGCAACACCCACAGCAGCTAAGACGGCAAAGCTGTCCACATGAGTTGTTGCATATTTTTCCTTGTGTTGGTAATGAAAGCATTTATAAGATATTAAAAAAATAATCGGATTAAAATACAGATCTATGTTTTGTTTCATTTTTTTTTATACTTTTGACTGTGTATAAATTTATGGTCAATAGGATGATCACTTTGATCTCTGGAGTGTCCACAAGTCATCATGATCGTAAAAACTCTGTATAAACTTTAAGCCAATCAGTTATTAATTTTAGCCTCTAGAGCTTTAATTGTGGATGATGCATGGACCGGGTCAGAGACAATATACAACCATATATCAATGTGGGCATATAAAAATAATGCATATTTAATTAATGCTAGTCTAATTGGCATTGTCTAGCAGCATCAGCACTTTTATCTATTGTCAAGCATGATGTTAGATAAGTTAAAAGTTCAAAAAATGTTCCCTTGAAAGATATCAAATATTTTTGGTATCACAAATGTCAAGAAAATACATCTTTAGTTTTAAGATTTTATTTCTTATCCCAGAAGGTTCTTTTTGACCCATGCTGGGAGTCGGCTAGTACCCTGACCACTCGTCTACTACGACCATAGTTACTTATTAAACCAGACAAACGTCCATCCATCCCTTATTCTTATAAACATGTCAATAACTCCTATAGAAATAGGGTTTAACGTCCCCTTGACACAAACAAGGTCAAACAGGGTTCAATTTGGGGTCTTTAGCAGTGGGAGGAAACCGGAGGACCTGGAGAAAACCCTCAAGGTTGGACATGCGACCCTACTCCTTGACACGTACAACCAGGGAATATAAGACATATAGAAATAGATTTACTAATTCTGAATATTATTAACATGCTACGTTTCAATACATTTACAGGTATCATTATCAAGCAAATAATGATGGCACCAAATTTTTGTTAAAAAATCATTTTTTGCTTGATAACGATACAAATGAAATGAAATGAAATGGGGTTTAACGTCCTACTGTTCTGCTCCTATACTGGGCTAATGAAGACGGGCATACGCCATACAGTGTGATATGAGGGAAATTTTGCCCGGGCAGCGGCACTATCACCTACTCTTATATCAAATTCCAACTGCCAAGGGATCTTTTACGTGCATTCCAATGTATACACGGGACACTTTTTTTTTTGTATCACCCGAAGGACCAGACAGCTGTCCTTGTCAGGCCCTCCGTCCTGCATCACTGACAAGGGGGGACCACACCAGAAAATCTGGATGAACTTTCTCGACCAATGCAGGGATCAAACACACAACCTCCAGGCTAGCGAGCCAGCATCTTACCCACTGAGCCACGTGATCCCCCTGATAACGATACCTGTATGTGTATTGAAATGTAGCGTGCCATTAAAATTCAGAATTAGTACATCCAAACACATGTTTTATTTATTATGTCAATAACTGTGTAAAAATACATATTTAAAACAAAAAAGAAAACAAGTATGTATTTACCCTGAGATATTTTGCGTGAAGTTGATCAGAGAGACTAAATAAACAAAGAGCATTGTCTATGTCTATATGAGGTTTTAATAAATGTTCACAAATAACTTTAAGACTATCCATCTGAAAAGAAAACCCACACAACAATGATTAATAAATTATGTAATAAATCGCAAGTAAAATAAAAGAACAATATTCAAATATCAGTCCTTCATGTTTAAGAGGAGCTTTCGCTCCTGCTCCTCTCGACGCACGTCAGCTTTCCTTCGAAGGAGTCATTAAGGACTCCTGCAAATTAGCTAAATCGCTCTCCTAAATATTGAGATTAATAAACTACTTTCAGTTTTTGTTTACTTTTAAACTGCATATATTCAAAGTATCAGGAGCTTTTTATGGCTCCAGCACAATTTTATAAACATGAAGGACTGGAATATCAAAGTAATGAAATAAATTTGATGGGTTTTATCGTCATATTTTACAACACCGACAGGACTAATAAAGGCTGAGAGAAATTTAGTAACTGATTAGAGCAGTAAACTATAACACATTCTTATTGAAGAACAATTACTGATTTATTTAGGCCATGTTTCGAAGAGTAATCTCTCAATGTTATCAATGCCTGAATCTATGATCAACTCTAACTACAGTTTAACTTTATGCAAATGATATACATGAGATGATGATATATCAGGAAACTTGATACTGCTATATACTTGCAGAGAGAGAGAGAGAGAGAGAGAGAGAGACACAGAGAGAGAGTTTAAAGTCCATTCAACAACCATTTTCCTTTGAATATGACTTCACTATCTCTCCTACTTATAATAGATTAAAAGGGGGGGGGGGACAGAAATGGGGTTAAACATCCACTCAACACAAACTAGGTCATTTAGGGACTAACATATGGTTCAATCTTATTTCAATAATTTGCTTGCGCGTAGGGGTATTTAGCAGTGGGAGGAATCCAAAGGACCCAGAGAAAACCCACGAGGTTGGACAGGCGATCCTACTCGTTGTCATCAACCCCCGGGGAATCGAAACCACGTCAGCTGACTCAATGACAGACCGTATGATACAACACGCACCCGCTAACTATTTTCAATGGCCATGCAATCTTTATAAACATGCACAACTAATATATTGTCAGGTTACTATTAGACTAACACCTACCTCATATCTATCACAGAGCGTTAACATATCAGCGAGTTGTTCAGCTGTTGTATCGTGTGTATCTAAAGTACCACTATATATATACATTAAAAACAGTTGAAATAACTCAGGATTCGTATCATGAACCACTATTTTTCTGAAAGTAAAAGATCAGTCCATAATTCATTTTAATGTTTCACTGAAAGTATAATGGGGTTTAATGTCCTACTGTTCTGCATAGACTGAAATGGGGTTTAACGCTCAACACAAACTAGGTCATTTTGGAACTAACATATGGTCTGATTTTATCTTAATAATTTGCTTGGGTGTAGGGGTCTTTAGCAGTGGGAGGAAACCAAAGGACCCGGAGAAAACCCATGAGGTTGGATAGGCGACCCTACTTCTTGTCGCGTTGAACCGAAACCATGCCAGACCTTCTCATACAACGTGCATGTGCTAACCATTCGGCCATCCACACCCCCCTGAGGTAATGAAGACAGGCATACGCCATGCAAGGGTTCTTTTACGCCAAGGCTCTACACAGCATTTTGAACTTACTTGTGCAAACATATGTAAATTTTCAAAACCACTCGCCAAATAAAATTTTCAGTTGCTAAGTCTGAAGATTAGAATAATTTGTCGTATGATATAGCTAAATTATATTGTGAACATACATAACTCTTCAACTTGTCGTCCTAAATAATAATAAAAGATGTTTTAAACATTTTTTTTTGACTGGGACTCACTGCGAGACGAAGACAGCGAAGCTTGTAATTTTGCTTGTTTGGGTGGTGTAGCGTCAGTAGCATGACTATCATCATTTTTCCCCAACTGAGACTCACTGCGAGACGAAGTTACTTTACTGGTAAAGTAAGACGATATAGGTTTGATTCGTCTGCTAGCCATGCTGTCAGCTGTCTCGTAAACTTCTGATAAATACAGCGCATGCGCAATGAGAATTTCCTCGCAGAGGACAACGAGTTTGACCCAATTTCAAACAAGGAAAGAAACAAGAGTGACAGTTGACCAGGATCATTGCCGATTACGTTATCTTTACGGAGAAAAGTTCAGATAGCTATAGTGTTAATTGGGGACTTCAAGATATTTGTTAACTCGCCAGAAACCTAGCATTTATAAATATCTGGTTGCCATTGTCAAAATTCATTTGCGAGTGTTTCAGTCGCATTGTAGAGCCTTATACGCGCACCTCAATGTGTACACTGGACCTTGGTTTTTTCGCCCCATATGAGAGAGAGAGAGAGAGAAATAAGGTTTAATGTCCACTCGACACAAACTAGGTCATTTCGGGACTAACATATGGTTTTTAATTTTATTTCATTAATTCGTTGCGCATAGGGGTCTTTAGCAGTGGGAGGAAACCGGAGGACCCGGAAAAAAACGGGGAATCGAAACCAGTCGACTCAATGACAGACTTTATGGTACAGCGCGCACATGCTAACATTTCAGGCATCCAATCCCAATGCCCCATATGAATGCCAGTAAAAGATAATATTGTAATTAATTTGTATTTTTCACTCAGAAATATATAAGATAACTTACTTATTAATAGATTCTCTCATGCCACTGAGTAAGGCTCGACGGAACCAATCACATCTAGCAGACACAATCACACAATGAGCGTGTATTTCATACACATCATGATTTTCACTATGTTCTAATTTAGTATGATCTATTACAATATCTCCAACAGGCTCTACAAAATAATTAATACATTCATTTATGTAACTTTTGCCAAGAATAGAGAGAGAAAAATGGGGTTTAACGTCCACTCGACACAAACTAGGTCATTTCAGGACTAATATGGTTCCACTTTATTTCAATAATTCACTTGTGCGTAGGGGTCTTTAGCAGTGTGAGGGAACCTGCGAACCCTCTGAGAAAACCAACGAGGTTGGACAGGCGACCCTGCTCCTTGTCACATACAACCGGGGAATCAAAAACACATCACTTAACTCACGCCAGTTGACTCAATGACAGACCTAATGATACAACGCGCATGCGTCAACCATCCACCCCCCACACACTTGTTTCTTGTACAATTGCTCATCGATTGACAGGCTTCCACCACAATTCCAAGATGGCCGTGAGGATATGAAGCTCGGTTTCTGGTAAATGGTAGGTCAATTGACTTTATGAAATCACAAAGACTTTTTTCACACATTATATAATTCAAAACAGGGATTTTCTATCATAATTCCTATTCCCTAACAGGATATAAAATATTTATCTTTCAGTTCTTAAACAGTGCTTTGCTTATTCATCTATAAACTATAAACTACTATATCTACCTTGAACTATTTGAAAGATCATATCTGTTGTTGTACCAGATTTGAGCAGTTGTTTTGATTTAGTAGCTAATGTACTGTCTCTTGGTTGTGGTGATACACATAATGATTCAATACAACTTAGCTAAAATATACAAATTAATCAGGTCTCTGTCAAACCAAATATAAAATCATAAAATAAATAAAGAGAGAGAGAGAGAGAGAGTTTAACCTCCACTCCACACAAACTAGGTCATTTCGGGACTAACATATGGTTCAATTTTATTTCCATAATTCGCTTGCACCTAGGGGTCTTTTGCAGTGGGAGGAAACCGGAGGACCCAGAGAAAACCCACGAGGTTGGACAGATGATCCAACTCCTTGCCACAAAAAACGGAAATACATTGCCCAAAAAATGGACAGTTCACCGAATCTGGGCTGCAGCCCCAGCAATCCCCCATCCCCCCAGCCCCCCTGGCTCCTACACCTATGGCTGGCCGTTCTTATTATAATTATTCAACTTTAAACCCTACAAACCTTTGACCTAATAACTTTATTATTTCTTACCTGTGAATATTTTGTATGATTTTGATTGGTTTTCGAGCAAGCTGCAGCACCTTCTGTAGAGGAATCTGTTGCCGTGAGACCAAGGGCTGCTAACGAGTTAGTAAACTGATCACGATTAACAATATCACAGGCCTGGTTAATCAAAGGTTGAAGTGTAGACTTGTTTGCTAAGACTTTTGCTAAACCCCATGCCTAAAAAATATGAAAGGTAATTAGACAAGTCTTAAAGAGGCATTATGGGAAATTAGATAACGATTTGACTGTTCTCGCTATAATAGTTAAAAAAAAAAGATAACGTAAATAGAATATGTTGAAAATTTCAGTCAAATTGCTCCACTCTGAACCGAGATATTAGCTTTAGAATTTTAAGCCTAGCCTCGATCATCATTACTAAAGTTGGTACAATAAAAAACATAGTTTGGATTATCCACGTTTGGATTAAATCATAAATAAGCGTTGTGCACCAGATCGGATTCAAATCCAGTGAAAATCTGACACATAAGCTGACATCGAGAGTTGATTATGGTCTGGATAAGTTAATTAATGTTTAACTAATAATTTAGATAACATTTCAGGCCTAAATAAAGACCTGCAATAGGCAGATTTAGCTCTTGCATAATGCATGTTTAAATTTTCAGTGTTTCTTAGTTATGTGTTAAATTTTGAATGGCATGGAATCAGGTAGGGTATTCAGAGTGCTTGTTTCTTCTGTGAATGAAATATTGATAAATTAAATAAAATTTAATTCATGTCTGTCGAGTAGAATTTTGCCTATGCAGCATCAAAACCTGTGCAGTGTGTGTACGCAACATGTTTTTTTTATATCATCTACATAAGATGACAAACTTGTAATTGTACAACATTCTAGTGCACTTTTACGACAAACAAATAATTTAATTTAGTTTTTTAAATTTCCACCAAACTCATCTTTTTCACTTAAATTTTTTTTAATTTAATTTTTCAAATTTTCAACTGATTAAAATTTAATAATTCTTTTTTAAATTTCCACCCAAGTAAAAATTTCTTGTTTTTAATGAAAATTGACCAGGTTAAATGGAGCCTAGTTTTAAGGCGTATTATAATAGAAGAGATATATATTCACCGTTTTAGATGTAGCTAATTTAAAGAGGTATTTCCACTCTCTCCACGGTAATTTATCAACTAATCTCTGTAATTCTTCTAATCTTATTAAAAACATTGGAATCTGAAATATATTTTCACATATAAAAAAACAATTCTGTAAATTATAGAATTAAATGAAAGACTTTTCGTAACCGTTACCCAGTTAGTGTCGACTGATATTATGGACATAATATGGTGAGTATGTAAACGTTTAAACTGTGACGTTAAACTTAAAGATAGCCAGCAGGTTGGACAAGCAACCCTACTTCTTGTCGCATACATGTACAAGTGTGGATAGATAGAGAAATGGGGTTTAACGGCCATTTCCGGACCAAGGGGTCTTTAGCAGTGGGAGGAAACTGGAGCACAGGCAAACCTACTCCTTTTCATGTTCAAGCGGGAAATCAAAACCATGCCACTTGACTCAATGACAGACCTTATGATATGAAATGAAATGGGGTTTAACGTCCTACTGTTCTGCTCCACTCCGATTTGGCTAATGAAGACGGGTAAATGCCACACAGTGTATGCAATGAGGGAAATTTTGCCCTACTCTTATATCAAATTCCAAGAGATCTTTTCCATCCCATCCAAACGACTAGACAAGGGGAAACCACATTGGAAAACAGGCCATCCCCCCCCCCACCCTACAAGCGTGAGATTAAAACCACACCAATTGACTCCATGACAGACCTTATGATCGTAAATTATTGAACTTGATTAAGACTACAGTACTCACTTCATCAATAAGCTGTTCAAGGTTTTTAGAAACTGATCGTATTTTTTCAGATTGAGTCATGTTACCAAAATTCTCTCTGAAAATATATTAATTAAAAACAAAACTGAAAACTTAGGTTTGCAATCTAAAACTGAATTATTAAAAGTTGGTAACACAATTTGTAACATGGACGGGAAATCTTCCTTTGTTCTTTTCGTTGAATAAGCAGAATGTTTTCCCTCTAGTAGATTGAGTGGAGCTTAACCGTGCAATAACTAGACATGTTCAATGTTATTGCACACTTTTGCTGGTTTACACTAGTTTTAGTAGAAATCATACAGAGAAGTGGGGTGGGGTTTCTGTGCAATAACAACAAGCATGTTTACTGCCTCTGGTTAAATCTGTTAACTCATGAAAGTCGTGCTATAAATATAACTTAGAAAGCAATCTTAAAGAATTGTAATTGAAAGAAAGAAAAAGTTTGTTATTTCAAAATTTTCAGAAAGAATATTTATTATCATCAGAGGCTGATTTGATTTGCCACTTCTAGAAGCAGTAATAGCTCTTTCAGAAGTCTCTTCTAGACATGTGAATCTAATGAACTGCAGAAACATGTATGGCCGATAGAGAGAGAGAAAGAGATGGGGTTTAACGTCCACTTGACACAAACTAGGTCATTTCGGGACTAACATATGGTTCAATTTTATTTCAATAATTCGCTTACGCATAGGGGTCTTTAGCAGTTGGAGGAAACTGGAGGACCAGGAGAAAACCCACAAGGTTGGATAGGCGACCCTACTCCTTGTCACGTACAACCGGGGACGACAAGTGCAAATCTACTGCAAGTATAATAGGTGTGAAAATACTAATAGGGATTTCAAATGTTTTAACAACTTACTTTTTCTGCATTAAATGAGCAAAACTTGTACTAGCTCTGTCATGAAAGTCTTTTAATTTCTTTAATTCTTTTACATGTAATGCCTGTAAAAAATATAATAATAATAATATATGTAACAAAAAAGTGGCATAACTCTAAAAATATTAATCCGATTTTGACGAAAAGAAACAGGGATCCTCATCTTGTCATAATACAGTTTCACATAGTTTCAGAACATCTAATAGAAACTGTAGCCTCTGTTCCCCTGAAAAAGAAGTGGGGACAGTCTGGCAAAAAAGTGGTATAACTCTAAAAATATTAATTCAATTTTGACAAAAAGAAATGGGGATCCTCATCTTGTCATAATATAAGTTGCCTGAAAGTTTCAGAACAATCTGACAAAAACTGTAGCCTTTAGAGCGCTGACAAGAAAGTGTGGATGGACCGATTACAACCATATTAACAGACCAGACTAATGCCAAGATGGACTAAAAATATAACTTACATTTCTGAGTTTTTTGCCTAACACATCTCTAACATGATGTTTCTTAGATTTTTCTGGTTTATCTCCCTTGTCTTTATCACCATGGTTACTGTTGCTAATTACTTGTTCTAAAGCTGCTTTTGTTTCTATGGCAACACGTGTCAACCTGTCTACAACGGTTTCTAACTGAAAATTTATTGAGAGAAAAAATCATATTAGTATGAGATTGCAAAATCTTCCATCCCATGGAATAAACTCAAATTACATCGTTCAATTTTATTTCAATAATTCGCTTGCGCATAGGTGTCTTTAGCAGTGGGAGGAAACCGGACACAGACTACCCTACTCATTCTCATGTACAACCGGGGAATCGAAACCACGCCAGTTGACTCAATGACAGACCCTATGTGCGCACATGCTAACCATTCAGCCATCCAACCCCCTTCATTCCAATACGTTAAACACGGAACTAAGATTGTGTCCCTAGCAATGACAGTTTCTTTCACTTGTTTCAGTTGCACATTCGTCCAGATATATTCGTCCAGAAGTAAACAGACTACGAATGTGTTTCAACATCCTACTGTTCTGCTCCAACATAGGCTAATGAAGACGGGCATACTCCATACGGTGTGCTACGGGGGAACTTTTGCCCGGGCAGCGGCACTATGGCCTACTCTTATATTGAATTCCAACCATCAAGGGATCTATTACGTGCACACCAATGTACAACGATACCTCGGTTTTTCGTATCATCTGAACAAATAGACAGCTGTCCTTGTCAGGCCTTCCGTCCTGCACCATTGACAGGGGGAAACCACGTTCGAAAGTCCCGATGAACTTTCTCGGCCAATGCAGGGATCAAACACCCAACCTCCAGGCTAGCAAACCAGCGTCTTACCCACTTACATCTCAAGTAAACATCCTGTTATATCGAATGTCAACAGGCGTATAAAAAAACAGAACTTACTTCTGGAACTAAGACATCAGATATTTCTGTACGTCGTGGTGCCGATATACTATAGGAATGATGTTTACAGATCTCTAGAAATCTATGGAGTTGACACATAAATACCGGGATTCTATAAACATAAAAAAATTCATACACGACACTATACACCAGTGATTCTCAACCAGAGATCTTCCTAAGTGTGCCGTCAAATTTTTAACGGCACACTAAGATTATGCGAAAAACCATGTGATCCCAATTGAGTATTCACTGGTGTCTACTGAAAAGCTGTGTTTTTCTTTATTTAGTTTGAGTCATTCTATGTATCTATGACTAGTCTCTGTCTACGGTTATATGCCATCTGACTTTACATGTTTTTATTTTGCAAAATTCAAATATTTTTCATATATATTTAGCCGGGTGTATCGCTATTTTTTCATGTGTTCCAAGGTGTGCCGAAGTTTATGAACCACTGCTATACACCAAGGGTGGCCAACCTTTAATATACCATGTGTCAATTTGTTGACAAAAGAATTCAGATGGGTCATACATCTCTTGTACCTCAGTCTACTTCTTGTAAAAATATGTTTATAGACATACGAGCATAATATACCATGCGTCAATTTGTTCATTTGTATCCCTGGCAACTTATTATAAAATTATTTTTATATTATAGACACATGGCACCTCACGTTCGCACAAGTATTAAACAAGTATTGAACCGTTACACGATGATAGCAGAACAAAAGTCTGTCTTTCCTAGTTTCATTTATTAAGTATAGTTTTAACTGAAAACAGATTGTGTGAAATAAGGTAACATTCGCTAAAAAAAAATATGTGAACGAAATAATAAAATTGCTTAACATAATGAGTAGGCTGACTGCGTTGGGCCCCTCCTTTATTATTATCAAAGGGATACAATGCACCACCTCTCAATACAATGGTCATACCTGCTGTACTCGATAAGGCTTCAGAAAAAAACGGGGTCCAGCACAGGACTTTCACTTCTAATTTTATTTTTGTTTTAAACAAAATGAAATGGGGTTTAATGTCCTACTGTTCTGTTCAGACTGGGCTAATGAAAATGGGCATACGCCATACCGTGTGCTTTGGGTGAAATTTTGATGAACTTTCCCGGCCAATGAAGAGATCGACCACAGGACCTCCAGGTCTTACTCACTGAGCCACCATGACTCCTTTTGTAAACAATATTTATTCACAGAAACTGGATTGGAGAACAGGCAGAAGCCTATAGAAACCCCTTCTTTGATAGACGTCTATTGATCAAAAAGATTCCTGGATTAGAGAGAGAGAGAGAGAGAAATGGGGTTTAACGTCCACTCGACACAAACTAGGTCATTTCGGGACTAACATATGGTTTCATTTTATTTCAATAATTTGCTTGCGCATAGGGGTCTTTAGCAGTGGGAGGAAACCGGAGGACCCGGAGAAAACCCACGAGGTTGGACAGGCGACCCTACTCCTTGTCACGTACAACCGGGGATTCGAAACCACGCCAGTCGACTCAATGACAGACTTTATGATACAGCGCGCGCACGCTAACCATTCAGCCATCCAACCCCCCCGATTCCTGGATTAAACCTTGATACTTTGACAAATTAGTTGTCAGTATACAGAAGTTAAAATTCCTAATGTAGAGTACCTTATAAAATACGGAAGGTCAATAAAAAATATGTAAAAAACCTAACTAACCTTGATTTAGCATATTTCATGATCTCATGTCTTTCTTCTCGTGATAATTCACCCTTCCGTCTTGAGAACAGATCACATAACATTATTAATTTAGCACACGCTGAAAAAAACACAGAACACACAATCAATAAATATACTTTTTAAAGCAGCAAATCAGCATTTCTTTTTTAATTCACATGAAAATATACACCATTCATCAAACAGTCATAACTTCACTCAGAATAAAGTAATTTGACTGAAATTTTCAATATATTCCTTTTTCATTATCTATTTTAGAACTATACTATTCAAAAAAAGTAGGGGATATTTGATTTTTAAGTGTTATTAAAGTCACCTAATGAAACTGACGAAGAAACAAATGACAAAATGAAATGAAGTTCACATTCATCGATTTATTCCAAATGATCGTTAGACTAAGTAAGGCACAGACTGACCATTATAAGGGTAAAATGATACCCGGGGTCAAACAGCAAAGTTACCACAGCATCACAACCAAGTCAGTAACGGGTAAATCCTCCTCTGTTTGCCAAACAAGCATTGATCCGACATGGCATACTCCTAATGAGACGTCTAAGGTCATTTTGGTCCAGATTGTCCCATTCCTGTTGCAACGCAGCAGCAAGTTCTTGGACATTGGCAGGACGTTGTTGACGTTGACGTAACCTCTGTCCAAGCATGTCCCAGACATGCTCGATGGTGGAGAGGTCGGGACTCAGTGCTGGCCAAGGTAATGTGGTGATGTTCTGTTGTTGGAGGTAACCTGTAACGATCCTGGCTCTGTGACATCTTGCGTTGTCATCCTGGAAGATGAAACGGCGGCCATGACGTCGTGCGAACGGCACAACATGGACTGCCAAGATGTTGTCCCGGTAGTACTGGCCTGTAACACGCCCTGCAACAACATGTAAAGCCGTTCTTCCAGCAACAGTGATGCCTCCCCACACCATAACAGAACCACCCCCAAATCGATCATGTCTGATGACGTTAACGTCTTGGAAGCGCTCGTTTCGACGACGCCACACCCTCCTACGTCTGTCCAAAAAATCAACAGTGAACCTTGACTCATCTGAAAACATCACATTGCTCCAGCGTCGATTATCCCAGTGTTGACGATCCCTACACCAACGACGTCTTGCCTGAATGTGATGATCTCTCAAACAAGGGATCACGCGAGGACGTCGGGCGCGAAGGTGACCCCTATGCAGTCGATTCCGAATCGTCTGGCCACTCACTCTCACACCAGTGTCTGTTTGAAGACGAGCGCTGATCTGATTTGCTGTGATGACACGATTTCTCAAGGCCAAGGAACGGATAAATCGATCCTGGGCTTGAGTTGTCGCCCTTGGTCGATCTGAGCGTGGTCTGTCCTGTACAGATTGTGTATCACGGTATCTGGACCATAGCCTGCTTATGACAGACTGAGAAACATTCATCGTCCGCGCCACAACCGCCTGTGTTGTGCCGATCTGTAGCATGCCAAGGGCACGTAACCTTTCATTTTGGGTAAGCCGACGCATATCAAAATTTGTTTTCTGGTCACTAAAACAATTAAACTGATGTTTCCACCCTGGAATTCAATGCCACAATGACTGTAACATTCAAAGTCAGAGTCGTGCAAATTTTGGGTTGGACCCCCATGATGATCCCAAGCATCACCTGCATTCCATGCGGTAGCTATTGGTGCGTTTGGGCGTCACATGTAACTGGAATGTTTCTTCTATTAGGTTCTATAGTGACTTTTTTCGTAGTCATTTGCATATTTTAGTATTATGCCCCCAAAATCAAATATCCCCTACTTTTTTTGAATAGTATATTATAGCGAGAACTGTATTATATCTTTAAGAAAACAAAACAAAAATATCAACAGTGGTTTGGACTCAATCAGATTTAAAAGAGAGATAGAGAGAGATTGGGTTTAACTTCCACTCGACACCATTATTTCAATAATTCGCTTGCGCGTGGGGGTCTTTAGCAGTGGGAGGAAACCGGAGGACCCCGTGAAAACCAACGAGGTTGGGCAGGCAACCATACCCCTTGTCATGTACAACCGGGGAATCGAAACCCACCAGTTGACTCAATGACAGACCGTATGATACAGTGCGCACGTGCTAACCATTCAGCCATCAAACCCCCCAGTTTGAGAGGGACTCCAAGGAAAATGCCAATAACTAATAGTCTAAAATCTATAGGCATGAAATGGCTCACTACCATAACTCCACGAATATCTATATCTTTTGAAAATGGCGTTCAAAATTAATTGTTTAACTTACCAACGGAAGTTTCTCGTAAACCTAATCTAACTGTATAACATAATTTAGCTGGATCTAACATGAGACCTTCTTCTACTATAGGTTCTCCTTCAGAATTAACTCCACTAGATTTACCGGTAAATAATTCAATAATTCTATCAGCACAAGCATGCATATCTGTTATTAAACTTATTATCTCTGAAAAACAAAAAAAAAAAAACAAATAAAAAAAACCCAATAATTCTATCAGTATAAGCATGCATATCTGTTATTAAACTTATTATCTCTGTAAAAAAACCACAATAATTCTATCAGCACAAGCATGCATATCCGTTATTAAACTTGTTATCTCTAAAAAAAAAAAACCCAAAAAAACAAAAACCTATTAGATATAAGAGTAGCCATTAAGAGCTGGTTATCCATGGTATCAGTGACTAGTTTCGTTTGTATTAAACTCTTCAGACTGATTGACCTCACATGACCGGCTTTTATTTATACTATTTCTAAACCCTGAAGGTTTTACCATGGTCATAAATTGACAGGGTTACTGGGGTTGACACCCAACCGTTTTTTACTTTTGCTATCATACTTTTGAATAACCAATCTAATTAACATGGAATCCGATCACCAGGGGCCTGTTTCACAAAATTTTTAACTAAGATAAAATCCAAATTTTAGTAATTTGATTGGATAATATTAAATTGATTTTAGTGCCTAGCCAATCAAAATTGAAGTATCTACTAAAATTTTGATTTTATCTTTTGTTAAGATTTCGTGAAACAGGCCCCAGGACATCACACACAACTTAAACTCTCTGTATGACCTGGTGACCAGAGTTTAATTCTATCAGTAGACCAGTAACGAAAGCGATAAACAATTTCTCACAGTATTTTTGGGGTTTTCTGACGTATATGAAAGGTAATAATAATCACACATAGCCTATATGACCTTACTCGTAAATAAAACAATAAATATGGATATAAAATACAAGAAATAGGTTAATAAAAAACAAAACAATAAACTAAATAATTAATCCACAACATAAACCCTTGGCTGACGTTGGAGAACGCTGCACATTTTAGCACATATGACGCATATGTGGATTATGGGTTAGGGTTAGGACCTGCAGTTTTCGTCAAAGTCTTGAGATGTAAACAGGGCTAATGCTAACCCTTACCCTAACCCAAAATCCACATATGATGTCATATGTGCAGGACAGTCTCTGATGTACCGATCTCCTCGAAAACCTGTGAAATGTTTCAAATCTTTCCTTGTACTTACGTTGCTTGAGGGCTGTATTTTTTAAATATGTTTCACAAAGCTCTGAAAACTTTGAAAATCCTGGCATTTTTCCTACAGATTTAATACAATTTTTCACAGTATCTTCGGATAAGTTTCTAGGTAAACACTCAGCGTATAGATAATGTAAAGTTGTTTCCAACACATCCTCTCGTAACCCCGACAAAGGTGGTGGTTGTCGACTCCAGTCCATCTCAACTGCACTGAGGTTTAATATGGTACTGTGAACTTTAAACTGTAAAATAGAGAGACACAAATGGGGTTTAACATCCACTTGACACAAACTACGTCATCTCAGGAATAACATATGGTTCAATTTTATTCAATAAGTGGCTTATATGTAGGGGTCTTTAGCAGTGGGAGGAAATCGGAGGACCCAGAGAAAACCCACCAGGATGGACAGGCGACCCTATTCCTTGTCAAATGCCAGCGGGGAATCCAAACCATGCCACTTTACTCAACGTCTTGTCATCACAATATTTTGGTGAGAGAGAGAGAGAGAGAGAGAGAGAGATGGGGGTCTACGGTCACTGGACACAAACTATGTCATTTTGGGACTAAATTATGGTTCAATTTTATTTCAATAATTGGCTTACACGTAGGGGTCTTTAGCTGTGGGAGGGAACCAGAGGAACCAAAAAGAAACCCACGAGGCTGGACAGGCGACTCTAATCCTTGTCAAATGCCAGCGGGGAATCCAAACCATGCCACTTTACTCAAGGTCTCCCCATCACAATATTTTGGTGAGAGAGAGAAAGAGAGAGAAAACCCACGAGGTTGGACAGACGACCCTTCCCTGTCAAATGCCAGCAGCGAATCGAAACCATGCCACTTGACTCGATGACAGATGTTATGATCTAATACGCGAGCATTCAACCATTCGGTCACATATTTCTAAACAATTTAACTGGGTGAACCTAGGTTTTTCATCCCATCCATACAATTAGGCAAAATTTTCCTTGTCAACCAATCTGATAAAATCTGTCTACACCAACTGGCCTAATGAAGTCGGGCATATGCTCTATACCATGTGTTATTACTAGTATTGGGGAAATTTTGTCCGAACAGCGACACTACGGCCTACTCCTATATCAAAGTCCAACTGCCAGGGGTTCTTTTACGTGCACCCCAATGTGTACACAGGACCTCGGTTTTCGTCCCATCTGAACGACTATACATTGTCCCTTGCCAGGCACTCTTACCTGCAACACCTGGATCGAACATGGGAAATCCAGATTAGCAAGCCCACGTCTCACTTACTAAGCCACCACGGCTCCCCATATCTGCTATTCTTGAGTAGGAACCGACCAGCAGAACATTCTTATCGAGCGCCTATATCACTGAACTATGGCGGCACCAAGATTCATTAATATCTAATAAATCATAATGATTCGAATGCTTCTGTACACAGCACAACTGGCCAAAATCTCAAATAATTTCAGTTTGTAGTATTTTTCAACTTAGATAAATATACAAACCTCCTTGCCACTCTCTGATTTAATAACCATATCTGAGAAATAACCATCTTCTAAAGCACCAAGAAATGAGAACGGTATGTCATCTTTATGATCATAAGTTGAAACCTGAAATATTGAGAGAGAGAAATGGGGTTTAACGTCCATTAGTAGGAATTAGGTTGTTTTGGGACTAAGACATGGTTGCCCGTAGAGGTCTTTAGGAGTGGGAGGAAACAGGAGGACATGGAGAAAACCCAGGAGGTTGGACATTTTTTTTTACCCTACTCCACGTACAAGCATGGAATTAAAACCATGCCACTTGACAGACCATGATTTAAAACACAAGCATTAAACTATTCAGCCACCGATCCAACTCCCACCTGAAATATTAAACACAGATAACAGTTCACTTATTGATAGCTACAGAGACATATTTTATAGGGGGAAGCTTGGTAGTTCAGGGGTTGTCAAGGAATTCAAGCAGCCAGGGGTTCCAAATAGGAGTCAATTTTGACGTGATGTCTGGGGGATTACAGAGAACTTTATAGAATCAAACACACGGAGACAAGATTTCTCATTATTTACAACAATGTGAGAAAGAGAGAGAAACTTGTCACAAACTAGGTCATTTTGGGACTAACATATGGTTTAATTTTATTTCAATAATTCACTTGCGCGTAGGGGTCTTTAGCAGTGGGAGGAAACCGGAGAACCTGGAGAAAACCCACAAGGTTGGACAGACGGCCCTACTCCTTGTCATGTACAACAGGGGAATCGAAACCACGCTAGTTGACTCAATGACAGACTTTATGATATAGCGCGCATGTGCTAACCATTCACCATCCAATCCCCTTACATCAATACATGTATAGAATTAGGATAAGTGTGGAGTGAAGCTAATGCTTTGCATGTGTTTTGATATCATTTTGATAACGAAGGAGAAAAAAAATAAGCTTGGCAAGAGCAGGGGAAGGTCCCTGCCCCCTCAATCTGGACCCAAGCCCAATTCTTGTCTCAGGTTAAGCCATCTGTTGCTTTAGATTTTGTGTAATGTATCAAAACTATGACGCGTTTCCTATTGGATTGATATGACCAATTACAAGATTCTACAAATTAATCAAGGGCAATAATTCTTGAAAATATTGTCTTCAATCACCGAAATTCAACAGGCTGCCTTCCCTAACTCATGTCAATGACATATACAAATTTTAAAAAATACAGGAATGATGAAAATTGTCTGCAGTGTGGTCATAAGACATTGTGGTCTACGGAAAGGGGTGACAACAATATACAACGACATCTAAAAATATAAAGTCATTAAAACAATGGCTAAATCTATTTGTTAAGGCCAGCTCAATTTTCGTCAAGGTCACTGAGATGTAAATAGGGTTAGGGCGCGTGATTGTTGGCAAGATTGTAGGCTTAAGATTGTTGGCGAGATTATAGGTTACGGTTAGGCTAAGTATTGGGGGTAGGTCAAGGGTTAGGGTTAGGGTTGGGATTAGCTCTAACCTTGTTTACATCTCGTGACCTTTGACCAAACCTGAAGTTGGCCTTATCAAATAGATGTAACCATGACTACTGTACCTTTTGACACTGTAACATACAACATCTTTCATATGTTAATAACATTAAATCTTCAGCTACTTCAATCTATACAAAAATATAACAAACAAAAAAAACATTTATAGATAAACTTATATTACTACTGGGCACAAGGCCAAAAAATATTTTTTGCCTGCTTTGAATATCAATTTCATGTTGTCATCCCTCAGGGTAAAATAAAATAACAGCTTATGTTTCAAGCCATAAAATTCTATTTTGAGACTCTATATAAAGATGGTTGCAAAGTGTAGAATAGTGCCTGGTGGAATTTAACAGGGTACTTTCCTTTTCACCGTGACCAGCTAAAGGAAACAATCTTCTCACCCCGGCTTCCAATTAGTGAACTGACTCGATTTTCATCATTTTCAAAATACTAAACCAAAATTCAGCAAAACTGCAATGAAATGGGGTTTAACATCCTAACGTTTCGCACCGAATGGGCTAATGAAGATGGGCATACGCCATACAGTTTGCTGTGATGGAAAATTTGCCCGGACAGTAGCACTACAGCCTACTCTTATATCGAATTCCAACTTTTAAAGGATCTTTTACATGCACACCAATGTGTACATGGAACCTCAGTTTTTCTTTCCAGCCGAACAACTAGACACTTTCCTTTGTCAAGCCCTCTGTACGTCCTGCACCACCTACACAGGGACATAATGTTGGTAAATCATGAGGAACTTTCTCAGTCAACACCGGGACCGAACCTGTGACATCCTAGTCACTGAGTCACTACGGCCCCCTCACTGTATAAATATTGATAGTCTCTATCATCCAGAAAAATATTCTACGAATATTAATCTGGATGCGTTGTCAACATTTGAGAATAATAGGTCATTGGCTAGATTATCCGGTCTTTTACATTATCATAAACAAAGTCTAAGAGAGGTAACTAAAATAAGATGTTAACACCCATTAAATTAATTCAAGAATGCCATTTCAGAAAATCCATTTGATTGCATTGCCAGTTCAATATCCAACACTCCTAATTTTTTTTTATTGTAAAATTTCTCTCTCCATGGACAATGTCTATGTTCTTTAATTAATCCTAATTCGTCATCATGATTCATGTTTGTTTATATCAATGCATGAAGGCAAGGGTAGGGGAGCAACTCTTACTTGACTTGGCCAAAGATACTGGATAATCAACCACATAAAAAACCAAACTTCCAGTTACGCATGGGCAACGTTGAAGACAAGGAGCTTCTGGGTGACCGAGACTAAAATAGTGATAGTTATTATAGTGGACTTTAAGATTCTAATTATTAAAAGATATTTGCTGCATATCAATAATTACCTTAAATTCTATCACATGACCAGCAAATGTTCCAATAAATTTTAAACATGCTCGATTACTTCCCTTTTCCGGTGTTACCTGCAAGGACAAAACACCAAGTAGATTGAGTACATTCTTGAGTTAAGTCCGAGAACGTTTTGTGAAACAGGGGCCTGAATATAAATGGCAGGATATATATAGAAAAAAATACAAATAAAGACAAGAAAATGAAATGAGGTTTAATGTCCTACTCCGACAGGGCTAATGAAGACAGGCATAAGCCATACAGTGGGGGATATAAGGGGAATTTGTCCGGATTGCGGCGCTAAGGCCCACTCTTATATTGAATTCCAACTGCTAGGGGATCTGTTATGTGCATGCCAATGTGTACACAGGACCTTGTTTTTTGTCACATCTGACAATGAAAACCATGCAGGAAAATCCAGATGAATTTTCTCGGCCAACACCGGGAGCAAACTGTGACCTCCAGACTATGGGGTTTAAGACCAGTCGACAAAAACTAGGTCATTTCAGGACTAACATCATATGGTTCAATTTTATTTCAATAATTTGCTTGTGCGTAGGGGTCTTTAGCAGTGGGAGGAAACCCGAGGACCCGGAGAAATCCCCAAGAGCGTGGACAGTCGACCCTATTCCTTGTCACGTACAACCGGGGAATCGAAACCACGCCAATTGACTCAATGACAGTTCATTTGGACATCCACCCCCCCCCCCATTACAATACCAAGGTTTGAATTCAAGAATTATATATTATATATGAATGCTACACAGTACCTCATAGGTTTCACAGTTAAAGAAAGGCATATGTTCAGCATCTTCTGATATTTTCCATGACACATCACCATTCTCATCTAGATGAAATTCAGTTCTTAAAAAGGAAGAATATATCATTATGCGATTATTTTAATGAAAGGAAATGAAATGATGATCAACAGTAAATTTTCGTTGGGCCGCTACTGTAACTGAGAGGGGTGACATCGAGCGAGTTAATTACCTCTCAATATTAACTGTTTTTCTTCTGCAAATTAAATTCTAAAACAATTGTTTGAAGCATATCTGAATAAAAACAGGCTCATGTCCCCCATCGAAATTCCAAAATAAATAGATGACACATATTAATTAATAGCACATTTACTTTTTTTCAAAAGTATCAAGCAATCAAGCTGATTATCAACTATAGACCAAGTTTCATCATTCTCTATCAGATATAATCAAGATTATCTTGTCCCAAAGCATCAACCAATGAAATTGCTTAGCTCTGCTTAGCTTTAGTTCGAAATGTTAATCATTGAACTCAGTCAAGACATTCACCTAATGAACATTTACATCAAGTTTAAACATTCTACCTCACTCAATTAAAAGCAGGGTTGTTACGTTTCAAAGTCTTGACCAATCAAATTACTTATCGCTTCATACCCTAAGCAGAAAATTCTCATCATTGAACTTAGCCTAAGCAGAAAATTCTGATTATTGAACTTAGTCAAGGTAGTGATATAATGAATCTATACCAGGAGTTTCATCTTCTCACTTAATTAAAACCATGAGTGAACCCGAGACCCTAAGGCAAGCGATCTAGCATCTTAATCACTGAGCCATAGTGACTCCATTTAAGATGGTGAAATGAAATGAAATGGGATTTAACGTCCTACTGTTCTGCTCCGAACTGGGCTAATGAAGACGGGCATACGCCATACAGTGTGCTATGAGGGAAATTTTGCCCGGACAGCGGCACTACGTTCTACTCTTATATCAAATTCCAACTGCCAATGCATGGAATCGAACACCCGACCTTCAGGCTAGCGAGCCAGCGTCTTACTCACTGACCCACAGTGACTCCATTAATTTAAGATGGTATTGGTAGTGTGACATCAGTAGGAACCAATATAAACCAATAATGGCTAAAACTTGATTGATTTAAATAATGTTTTGACCAAAAAGGATTTTTTAAAAATAAATGTCCTAAGAGTAGCCAATTGAGTCTCTAACTTAATACATGTATCATCCAAGGTCTTCGACATTGAAAACACAAATTATTTGTCAGTTTAAATCAACAATGATTTTGTGATCTTACCGAGAAAAGACATTTTATCATTGGTACATGAATCGTGTTCCATAATGCGTTTCAGTGCCATTTGTAATAAGGGACTTGAAGAACAAGGCTTTTCCACAAGTCATGTCAAACGGTGACATCATATTCTTATCTGGAGAGCATGTGCATTTAATACTATCGGTGTAGACTCGAATAACAAGACTCTAGAAGTTGCCATTCGATTGAGACTTCTGGCATATTTCGACGAACATAACTGATTTGAAATTTTAGAGTAGAAATGGAAACAATTGAATGTAAATCAGTTTATATACATTCATATTACATGCCTTGCGACCCATTTGTGTCAATTTCTAGGTCAGAAATATTAGTGATTTAGCACCTTTAAGATTGGATTGGGTATGACGTTAGTCTATATCTGACCTCTATTCTGGCACATTTGGGCTATAACTACAAAACAATTCAAGACATGTCAAGCCAGCTGACTCCATCCTTTCCAAGTGAATTACCTCATGTCTTTTGAGTAAATGTTAACAGGTGCTCAAATTCAGAGGTTCGCAATTACCTGTTGTGTTAGCCTAGTCAATTTCTGGTATACAGACAACTCATCCCAAAGACAACTCATCCCATGACAACTCATCCCAATATAAGACAACTCATCCCAAGATAGAAGACAACTCCTCCCAACTTTAAAACATGGGTCGAGATATAAGACAACTCATCCCAGCAAATATAAGTGCTAGTTTTATTTGTTTTAATACAATTGCTTTCTTTGTTATAAAAATGTGTTATCTTTATAAAATTGATATTGTTGTTTTAATAAAATAGATATTGTTGTTTTAAATTTCAAGTTTTTTTTAAGTTTTGGGCTCTCCGTATAGTTATCATAGCGTACATGTTTCAATTCCTTCTTTGAACCATACATGCAACTTAAAATGTTGGACCCAGTCGTGCTGATTGTTTCCATATCATTGTCTGATAGAAATTCATCAGAATATGACCTTATATCCTTATCTTTATGTATGAGTTTCAGTATAGCTAATATCTTGCGATGAGTTGTCTTCTTACTTGGGATGAGTTGTCTTATATTGGGATGAGTTGTCTTGAGATGAGTTCATGTCTTTGGGATGAGTTGTCAGGTATTCGATCTGACATATCATATATAGTACCATAAAATCTTATCAGCTAGCTAGGCCTAATTTAATGCATAATAAGATATTATTGAGTATTGACATTGATTTTTTTTTAATGTGACATCACATTATTTCTCACTCTCAGCAGCCTATGACTAGGAGTTGGATGATGGTGACTGACTAGGCCTAGTCTGTAGGCCTACTCTCTAAGGATTATGTAACAAATGAATCTCATATATTGCGAATTTTGTCCAAAACAACCAAAGGAAATTTATTGCAAAGATATCTAATTTGAGTCAGGTGGTGGACATGATAGTATCAAAAACGTGACACAAAGAGATACAGTCACGGAAGTCGAGATTTAGAACGTTTGTTAGTTGTTTTTTTTTATTTTTACAAAAATCGATGAAATCCTACCCCTCAACTCCCGTCGTTTCCACGACTCCAGCCAAAGAAACACACTCAACAATCTGAAAAAATAACAAACAAAATGTTTAAAATCCCAAATAACTTTTCATTTAAATAAAATACTGATTTTTGTAAGTGCATAATGTCATCTAATTCTACCTTCCAAGTTCCATAATACAGCGATTCTTCAGCCGCCATGTTGGTGTTTACATTATTCGCGCATGCGCTGGGGTACATCAAGTTACGATGCATGTCTAAAAATAGACATTACCAAATAAAATGGAAAAGGCTTGAAAACCACCAGCACATTTCCGACAATATTTTACAAATGACGTGTTATATGCCTCGAACGTTGACTCATCTGTTTGCTGTGATAATTTCAGCTAAATGCATAACACGATGTGATGAAAATACTAGATTCAATCTATACCATGCACGTACTACGCGACCACCAACCAACTGACCAAGTCCAACCATTTAATTTATACTTAGGCTATCTTATAGAAGTTTTAATATACTGCACTGGTTTAATAACGAAATGTTTTTTTTCTGCATCAATTGGGCTATTGAAGACGGACATATTCGGGGAATTTTATTTGGACGATGGTGTGTTCCCGCCTATGTGTAATGTATACTCTCATCGAATTCCGACTGTCATGATCGTCCCATCCGAAAAACTATAGACTCTTTAATTAATTTCCGCAGGGTCGCCGAGAAACTTGTGATTTCAGGATCATATCTGGACCCGAATGAAATAACAATATGCGTAAAACAAAGTGTTGTTTCTCAGTTTGGAGGGGGGGGGGGGGCACACACCTTTTTTGGGAAAAAAAATCTCAGAAAGATATGATTTGTTGTTTTTGTACGCCCAAATTTTAATGTGGGCGTATATTGTCATCGCCCCTGTCCGTCCACAATTTGTTTGTGGACACTCTACAGGTCACAATTTTTATTCGATTTTGACGAAACTTAAAATATAGGTCTATCTTCCAAAGATCTCGGTTCCTTTCGATATCGGACCATACCTTCATGGATTATGGCCCCTGATTGTACGAAAAATCACGTTTTTAGCTTGTGGACACAATTTTCATCTGATTTTGATGAAACTTGAAATGCTTGGTTCCTTTCGATATTTGCGCATATCGGATTGTAACTTCATGAATATGGTCCTTGATTGTACGAAAAATCGCGTTTTTGGCTTGTGGTCCCTCTAAAGATCACAATTATTAATCAATTTGAAAAAAAAAAGATCAATATATCACCGTTACACTCTAATGAAAATCGGACCAAAACTTCGGACAAAATGGCCGCCCCTCGTACGCAAATAGTATAAATATATGGTATTTCAAAGGTCCTAATTTTGATCCGATTTTGATGAAACTTGAAATACATGTTTATAACCCGAAGATCTCGATTCCTTTCGATATTTAAGCATATAGGATCATAACTTCCCGAATTATGGTCCTTGATTGTTCGAAAAATCACGTTTTTAGCTTGTGGTCCCTCCCTTTAGAGGTAACAATTTTGATCCGATTTAAAAAACAAGTTTGAATATATTGCAGTTACATCCTAATGATGGCTGAGTACGAATTTCGTGAATATCGGACCAAAACTGTCGGACAAAATGGCCGCCCCTCGTACGCAAATGGTGTAAATAAGGTATATCAAGGTTGTGGACCCTCTAGAGGTCATAACCTTTATCCGATTTTGATGAAAGTTGAAATACCTGTTTATAACCCAATGATCTTGTTTTCTGTTGATATTCATGCATATCGGATCATAACTTCTTGAATTATGGTCCTTTATTGTACGAAAAATCTCTTTTTGTTTAGCTTGTTCTCTATTCATCTCTTGCAAAATGTGGGCGTATCTTGCCTGACAGCAGCTGGTTCTGTTAGGGTTTCGCCTGTAGTACTTATTCGTGAGAGAAAAGCGAGATTTCAAGACGTATAGTTTAATTTTGTTCAAATTAGTTCTACACTAGTAAATACACAACACAGTTTACACATTAAGAGAAATACACTAAAAAAGTAATTATGGATATGAAATTCACTGAACATAATAATGCAGGTATTGTCACTGGCATAAATAAATACTGTGTCCTTCACATCATAATTGTCCTTGTTTAATTTGTTTTTCTCGGTGAATTCATGTAGGAAAGTTCACCTTTACTGTTTAGTTCAGTTTGTTTATGATTTTTACACGAGGAAGTTTTCTAGAAAAGCACCGGAAGTTGTAATACTAAAAGGGAGATAAACTGTGGATAATTTGTGGATCAAGACCACAGCGATAATCAATAAGCTACAAGGCCTTAAAGAGAGTAAACAAGAACATCGCCACCCCCTGACAGAGTCAAACAAGTAGTTAAACTGAAATAGGACTATAAAGATTAATTAAGATTAAGGAATATTTGATATTCAAATGTTCTTTGAAGTATCAGAGAATTCGAGTCTTTAGATGTTTTCTTCTAACAAACAGATCTTTGCAGCGGGACGGATGTAAATTCCATGGGCTGTTCCGACTTTCACAGTTCGTATACGACCATCCTCTCCTGGGTAAACAGCGGTGATACGACCAAGTGGCCAACTACCACGAGGTTGGTTGTCTTCGACCATAAGAACCAAATCATTAACATGTAGGTTTGGTTTTTCCTTTGTCCATCGATGGCGTAAGGTAAGATTTGGTAGGTATTCCTTAAGGAAACGCTTTGCTACATGGTTAGCAAGCACCTGTACTTGTTTCCAGCGTTTTCTGCTGTTGATTTCTTTGTCGTGTACAACAGCTGGTGAGAAGGTTGTTTCTGCTCTTCCGATCAAGAAATGATTTGGCGTGAGAGCTGTAAAGTCATTAGGATCGGAACTGTTATGCGTCAAAGGACGGCTATTCAGCACAGCTTCTACTTCGATAAGTGATGTTCGAAGTACAGACTCTGAAACATTGAGGTTACCAATAACTGCTTGGAGAGCTGTTTTGGTTGAGCGTACAAGTCTTTCCCAGGCACCTCCAAAATGTGGACTTAATGGAGGGTTGAAATGCCATTCGATCCCTATTGGTGCTAGAAAATTGGTGACTTGTTGTTTGTTCAATTCGTTTAAGGCTAACTTCAGTTCATTGTTCGCCCCGACAAAGTTTGTGCCATTGTCACTGTAAATATGTTTAGGGTGTCCACGGCGACCAATGAAATTACGTAGAACTAAGATGAAATCATCTGTTTCAAGGGAGTCTGCAACTTCAAGATGAACTGCTCGGTAGGTCATACATGTAAAGATGCATCCCCAGCGTTTGACATTACTGTGACGAACTTTAACGAGCATCGGACCAAAATAATCAATACCAGTATGATGGAATGGACCAGTCATACAATCGATTCTGCAGCTGGGAAGATCAGCCATTCTTGGTACCATCGGTGAGCTGCGTCGACGCTTGCAGTAGAAACAGTTGTTGATTACAGTTTTGGTAGCACGTCGAGCAGATATAGGCCAATATTGCTGTCTCGTATGAGCTATTACGTGTTCTACTCCACCATGGGCAGTTTTGATATGAGCGTCATGGAGCAGTAGATTGGTGACATTGTGTCCATGAGGTAAAATTAGCTGATGCTTTGTTTCGAGTGGTTCTTTCGATCTGGATAGTCTACCACCAACTCGTAGATGAGTTCCATCATAGAGAGGAGTTAATGGTAGTAAAGAACTATTGTGTGGAAGTTCTTGATGATCGTCAAGACATGCGATCTCTTTAGGAAATTCGTCTTCTTGAGCTTGTCGAATCCAGCATCGTGAAGCGTGTTCATATTCCTTTGGTAGTAGATTGTCGTTTCTTATGGGAATAAGATTCAATCGTTTGATGGGAACAAGAAAATTCCGGATAGCTCGAAGTAGCCATGCTGTTCTTCGAGTGAGTTTTATCCACGTTGAGAAATTTTTAGCTTCTAATATATTTCCAACTTGAACTATAGGAAGAGTGTCCTTTGGAAGATTATTCTCTTTGGTGGTTGTAAACATGACTGAAGATCCTTTGATCTCAGGATCATTAACAGTGATTTCATCATGTTGTGTTTGTTGACTTGGCCAAAACCTTTCACGACGATGAAGATAATCTGGTCCGTTGAACCAAGGATGGTCCAACTGTAGTTTCGATGCAGGTAACCCACGAGAACAGAAATCTGCAGGATTATCCTTTGAGGGTACAAAACGCCATTGGTAATTTTCAGTTGACTCCTGAATCTCTGCTATCCTATTTGAGACAAATGGTTTGAAACGCCTCGTATGGTTGTTGAGGTATTGAAGTACTCTTGAGGAATCAGTCCAGAATATGACCTTTGTAAGTGGTAAAAACAATACATCCTTCAGCAAACACCAAAGTCGCACTGCAAGAACTGCCGCTTGAAGTTCGAGTCTGGGAATTGATAATGCAGGTTTGATTGGTGCTACTCTAGTTTTAGATGCCCAGAATGAGCAGATTATGTCTCCGGACATATTTGAGTATCGTAAATATGCCACACTTCCGAAGGCCTTTTCTGAGGCATCTGCATATATGTGCATTTCAACCAAGCGGACGTCTGAAGAGAAATTAAGATGGTGACGGTTTAACTTGAATGATGAAAGATGTTGCAGTTCACGTACCCACGAACTCCATTTGTCATCAATATCTGGAGGAAGTGGATCATCCCAGTCATTATTAGATCTCCAAATATCTTGTATGATGATTTTAGCTCTTAGTGTGAATGGGGAGAGATATCCACATGGGTCGAAGATTGAGCTAACGATGCTAACAATCCCTCTTTTGGTAGTGGGTGTAACCTTTGGTTGTGGATTAAAGATGAAGATGTCTTGTGACACATCCCATTTTAGGCCAAGGGCTCGTTGTAAGGGTATGTCATCTAAATCAAGATTAAGGGTAGTGATTGCTCGTTCCGATTCAGGAATGGAGTCGAGTACATCGGTCGAACTAGACATCCACTTGTGGAGGTGGAATCCGCCAAGTTTCAGTAGCTCAGTTACTTCCTGGTAGATGCGAATAGCTTCTTCGGTCGTTTCTACTGACTTTAGTAGGTCGTCTACATAGAAGTCTTGAAGAGTAGTGTCAATAGCTTGCTTACTAAATTTATGTTTATTATCAGTAGTAGTTCGTCTCGTAGCATAATTCGCACAGGCTGGTGAATCGGCTGCTCCGAATATATGCACATTCATTTTGTAAGCATCAGGTGGACCAGGTTTTGATATATCAGTCTTCCACA